TGAGTTCAATGCAGGTAATTGCATACAAATGCATTAAATGCATGGGAAATACAGTGCCCACCTCGCAGGAAGCACCCAGTCAGTGACTGTCATTTTATGGCGTTTTGAACTCATCAAAGTCAGTTCTGGTCAGGTACTTAGAATAAACAAAATCAGAGCTAGGGGTCGAGAGAATCCCCCCTTAGTGTACAGATGGGGAACTGAAACCCAGAGAGGGGCAGGCACTTGCCTGTGATCACAGGGTGGGTTAACAAACCAGGTTTCCGCCCGGCTGGCATGGCTCAGTGGTTGAGCACCCGCTTTTGATATGAACCAGGAGGTCGCGGTTTGATTCCCAGTCAGGGCCCGTGCACGGGTTGCGGGTCCAATCCTCAGTGAGGGGTGGCAGGAGGCAGCCGATCAATGATTCTTTCTCATCATTGATGTTTCTATCTTTCCTTCTCCCTTCCTCTCTGAAATAAAAAATAAAAGAAACCAGGTTTCCTGGTGACAGCTGTTAATCCCATTTTACAGATGAGTAAATTGAGATTTGGAGATTTAGTCACTTGCCCAAATCTACACAGTGAGTCCATAGTAGAGTCAGAACCAAAGTTCGAACGCACTGATTTGCAATCCACTGTCTGAAACAACAACAAAACAGCTGCCGTCATGGGCTGAGTGCCCACTTTGTGCCAGGCACTGCTAAACACTTTCCACAGGTTGGCCAGGATGGAAGCTCGGGCAGGACCCAAACGGCTCATCCTGCCCCTTTAAATTACATGCTTCTCGTGGTCGTTGACATAACCACCCCCTCCTTGCTTAGGTGCCTTGGCCGGGGGTTGTTTTGTTGTTGGCCAGCTGTGTTGTCATCTCCTCTATCCCCCTGACACTCCCCTCCCACAGTATTATTTGCCATAAAAACAATAATATAATGTCAGTAGAAGGCATTTTTAAAAAATTCGCTCTAAATCTCAGCATCCTAGCCCAACAGCTGTTTTAGTTTTTCTGTCTTCTTCAAATCTCTGCCCATATGTCTACAGTACACATTTTTACACCCTTGTCATTGGGATGTAGAAAGCATTTGTATTCTGCTTCCTTTGCTGGAGGTTGTTACATGGGTTATATTGTTTATAATTATGTTTATTGGCTGTAGAACTCTGTTGAGTGTCTCCATATTGCTGGACTATTTGTTTCTAGATTCCTATATAAATAATACTACATTGAAACAGTGCTTAGCGCACTTTATTTCCTTCCCCAGTTTCCTTTAGGATAAATAGACAGGAGTGGTCTAAGAAAGGGCTTTGGCATATATTGCTTTATTTTAGTTTTTTAAAAAAATATTTTTATTGACTTCAGAGAAGAAGGGAGAGGGAGAGAGATATAGAAACATCAATGATGAGAGAGAATCATTGACCGTCTGCTTCCTGCACACCCCACACTGGAGATTGAGCCCATAACCCAGGCATGTGCCCTGACTGGGAATTGAACTGTGACCTCCTGGTTCATAGGTCGATGCTCAACCACTGAGCCATGATGGCCAGGCGACATATATCGCTTTAAAAAATGGTGGTACTAATTTATACTGCTACCAGTATCTCACCTTAGTGCACAGATATTAGTTCATGAATATGGGCTGGGCAGTTTGACCCATCTTACGTAATTCTCACATTTGCTCTTCAAAAAGTACGTGTTATCTCCATTTTTTTCCAGTCAAGGACCACACGCCCAAAGAGTTGAGTCACTTGCCTGAAGCTACAGAACTAATAAGGGGTAGATGTAGGATTTGAAGTTTGGAGCACCCGACCCCACTCCAGAGTCCCTTCCACCAGAAACAGCTGAATGGCTCAGGGTTATTGTCTCCTCATTAGCATTATTAAAATAAACACACTTGGACTAATTTAACAGATGTTAACCGTTAGCCTCGTTGTTTTAATGTGCATTTTGACCCTTGATCTCCGAGTGGCCTGTAGCCCTGTGGAATTTGGAGGGATGGGGCTTTGAGGGCCCCATGTTCTGTTTTGCCAATGTGTGCTGGCAGCTGAAGAGAGTGTGTCTGGGTGCCAGATGGTTTTTGGAAACACAGAGAGACTCATGAATTCACACCCCTCAATCAACATATCAGTCTCTAGTCAACAAACTATTTGAGCCTCTGGATCTGCCCAGATTTGGTCAGGGTGGGGGTTGAGGAGAAAAGTGAGCTTTCTTTTCAAAGACCCCTCAGTCTAGCGAGGTAGGCGGGGGCTGACACAGCTGGTGGAGAATGAGATGCCCAGTGGGAGGGTGGACGGTTCATCCTCCCAGTTAGAGGTTGCTATTTTGTGCCCTGAAAAGCGGTCGTAAAGAACCTGAACAGGCCGCCAGGGCTTAAAAATCTGGAGGTTTCACATACAAATCTAAATTTCTGGTTTCTCTTTAAAAAAATGAGGATCTGGCAACCCTGAGCCTGTGGTCCTGCCTGGCAACATCGCCTGGAGCTGGGCGGCAGTTGCCCTTTTTGGATGGGATGCTTATTGCCCTGTTTGTCATAGTCCCGACCCAGACTGTCACCAGTTTACACTGAGCGTCCCATGCCCTTCTCTGAATCTGCAGGAGGGCAAAGGCAGGAGGGAGGATGGAAAGGAGTGTGGGGCAGGTGCTCCTGGGGGTAGGGGTGGTGTGAGTAGAGCTGCAGGGACCGAGACCTGCTCTCATTAGTGCCAATAAAGCAGCGGTCCGTTGGCTCCCATAGCCGCCTTGGGACAGTACGCATGGGACAGCCAGGACCAGAGCCAGAAAGTCAGGGAATACCGCTACGACCTCTGAACAAGAGAGCAGAGTGAGTCTACACAGAGTCCCCCCCCTCCACCCCCGACACGTAAGAATGATGGGTTAAAACAAAGCCACATAGAAAAACATTAGGAAAATCTATGTGGGCCAGGAACGGGGAAGAAAATTTGAGTGCAGGATGTGGGCTTGCAGCCAGCAGCCCGCAGGTTGCAGCGAGCAGTGGGAGCCAGCCCTTTCATGTCCTTGACGGATGGGGATAGGGTCGGCCGTGCTTGTGGGGAGAAGGGAACCAGACTGTAAGAAGCCAAGGGGTGGGCCTGGCTCCTCGCAGGTGCTGAGCTATCTCTTTGGAGGCCAGATCTAGGACTGCAGACACGCAGTTTGCCTGTGGCTCAAGGAAGAAAGGAGAGCGGCAGGGTGGAAACAGAAAGTTTTATTGTGCTGTACTTGGGGCCGGCCAGCCTCTAACGCTGGACTACCCACGTGTCTGAGTAAAGAGCAACCTGGGGTGATGTTTCCCTTTGCACCTTCTTTGTAAAGTGCATCCTGAGCACATTACTCATGTAACAAATGATGACAGGGACACACTGAATCCTCGTAGGAGGCCAAGCGGCAGTACCCTCTCACCTGTTCCTTAAGGCGTGTCCTGAGGTCCTCTAACTGGGGACACCTTGCAGGTACTCAGAGAACTTGAAGGTATTGAAACTACATTTCACAGAATCAGGGTGCAAGAGAGAAAAGGATCCTGACAAGTGATCTTGGCCTCTTTGCTCATTTTACAGGCGAGGAAATGGAGGCCCAGAGATTTGCCTGAGGTCATACCGCTGGTTAATGCAGATGCAGGACGGGGGGGGGCTGAGCCCCTGGGTTCCATCCTGGCTTCACTTCAGAAGCCTCAGTTGTTGCCTTTTATTTTGAAGATTTTAAAATAGATTTTTAGAGAGACAGGAAGGGAGAGGGAGAGAGAGAGAAAAACATCGATGCGCGAGCAGACCATCGATTGGCTGCCTCCTGCACAACCCCCATCAGGGATTGAGCCCACAGCCTGGCATGTGCCTGACTGGGAAGTGAACCAGCAACCCTTCGCTGCATGGGGCAACACGCACCCAACTGAGCCACGCCAGCCAGGGCGAGAACCTCAGTACTTTAATTTATAAAATGGGGACAACTTTCGGGCCCCACAGAATCATCAAGAAGCTGTAACATGTTCCTTTCTCTTGTTTGGGTAGCTGTCTCTCCTGAGGTATTTTTTTTTTTTTTTTTTTTTTTTTTTTTGGACAGTGAATTCCTAAAAGGGAGGCTGGGTAGTGGTTTAAGATAATGGATTCTGGAACCAGCCTGTCCTGGTGTAGATCTCAGCTTTACCCCTTACTGTCTATGTAACTGTGGGAAAGTCACTTAATCTCTCTGCGCCTCCATTTCCACGTCTTTAGGACAGGGCTAATAATAGCACCTGTCCATTGGATTATAGCGAGGATTAAATGAAATAAAGCATTTTAAAGGCTCTCAAACAATGCCTGGCATATACAAAACCCCCAGTAAATGTTAACTGCTATTATTATTGTTATCCTTACATAACATTATATTTCCCTTTTTGCTTTGGCAGCCAGGGAACTCACCACCCAATTTGAATCTTATATTTAGGATTCCCCTCTCCCCCCCTAGGACTTAACGGCATGCATTTCTGTTTCCCTAACATTCTCTGGCATTATCTAACTGTTTGGCTCTCCTTTCCTTTATCATCCTGATTTCCAAATATTATTGTATCATATATTTCAGAACAACTTTGGAATGAATCACCTAAGAAAAATACAGCAATAGGTTGATTCAGACTGGCCTGATGCGGTCCAGGAATTAGGAGGCGAACTGTGTTATTAAAACAAAAGTATAGCTAATAGTTTGTAGGGCCTGTTGTGTATCGGCTTTTGTTGCATGTACGTGGCATGCATTTCCTTAAACTTCACAACCATTCTGTGAGGCGGGGCTTATTATTATCTCATTTCGAAGCTGAGGAAACTGAGGCTCAGCGAGGTGGAGCGTCTCAGCCAGTGGTTGCAGCTGCAAGAGGCAGAGCCAGGATTCGGATGCGGCCCCAGCTGACTCCAGAACACGCACTCTTACTTCTAGGGGGTCCCTTGAGCTCTTGGGGACAAAGGAGGGATGATTTCGGTCAGCTGACTAGATGTTTTCTCTCTGATTTATCTTCCTCCTCTCTCCCCCTTTCCTCTGCCTTCTCTGTTTTCCGGGTGTGCCAGAGCCCATGAGGGCCCCCAAAGGCCTGGCTTTCGCTGAGATCCAGGCCCGCCAGCTGACCCTGCAGTGGGAACCACTGGGCTACAACGTGACGCGGTGCCACACCTACACCGTGTCCCTGTGCTATCACTACATCCTGGGCAGCAGCCACAACCAGACGGTGCGGGAGTGTGTGAAGATGGAGCGGGGTGTCAGCCGCTACACCATCAAGAACCTGCTGCCCTACCGGAATGTTCACGTGCGCCTTGTGCTCACTAACCCCGAGGGGCGCAAAGAAGGCAAGGAGGTCACCTTCCAGACGGACGAGGACGGTAAGATCCCCAGCCCTGATTCCCGGACCCTAAGTGCCTCCTACAGACACCCCCCTGTCTGAGACTGAAATGCATATAGGAAATTTTTTTGCTTAGGATTAAACCAGCTCTATAACAATAAAGTCATGAGAGCTAATATTTATTCTCTGGAAACCTTTGGGTTAATTGGTATAATTTCTTCCTTAAATATTTGGAAGAATTTCAGCAGTGAAGCCATTGGAGTTTTCGTTGTGGCAGTGTTTTTACATAACAGTTTTTTGTTTTTTGTTTTTTGTTAATCCTCACCCAAGGATATTTTTCCATTGATTTTTTTTAGAGAGAGTGGAAGGGAGGGGAAGAGACAGACAGAAACATGGGTGTGAGAGAGACACATTGATTGGTTGCTTCCTGCACTGGCTCCAACCAGGGCAGGGGATTGAGCCTGTAACTGAGGTACATGCTCTTGACCAGAATCAAGCCTGGGACCCTTCAGTCCATGGGCTGACGCTCTATCCACTGAGCCAAACTGGCCAGGGCAACAGTTTTAATTTTAAAAATAGATTTTGGGATATTCAGATTTTTTAAATATTAGTTTTGGTGTACTGTGTTTTAAGGTATTTGCTCATTTTACATTTTACCTAAATTGTCAAATTTCTTGTTATAAGTTGATTATAATATTCTCTTATTATATTTATTTAATGTCTATAGGGTCTATGTGATATCCCCCTTTTCATTCCTGGTATGGTAATCCGTGTCTTCTCTCTTAGGAGGTGAACTGTTATTAAAACAAACTCATACCTAATATTTAGTAGGGCCTGTTTCCTATTAGCTGTTGTCTCATGTACTGTGCACACATTATCTTACATTTCACAACATCCTAGGAGGAGGGTCTATTATTATTTCATTTTGAAGCTGAGGACACTAAGGCTCAGAGAGGTGAATTGACTCAGCCAGTGTTTCCAGCAAATGTAGAGAAGGAAAAACAACTTTTTTTTTCTTCCCACCTTAGTTTCATTGGCTGAGGCCCTATAAATTGGACTGAGAAAAGACAGACTAACAGGGGAAAACGAGTTTATTACCACGTGCCTTGCACATGCATGTGGGAGTGAGTGCTCAGTGATGAGTAATTCAAAGGGGTGTTTAGAACTTGGGCTTATATGGCATCTTAACAAAAGAACAATGAATTTTTAGAGAAGTGACAAGACAAAGGAAAAGGACTTTTTAGGACCAGCAAATTATGTGAAGGCAAAAATATGGGGAAACTAGATAAGGACTAGTTAGTAAAGATTGTGTAGGTTCTTCTAGTCTAGATTTGTCTCAATGATTAACTTCGTTCCTTCTGGGTAGAGAGGGGAGGGGGGCACCTTTACAAATTTATGTCCTTCTTTTAGGCAAATAGGGGAGGGCAGGGAACTTTGCTTGCATAGTCCTTATTTAACATCATTGATAAGTTCTTGGAAACTGTGACTTTACACAACCAATTTTACCAGAGGCTTAATTGCTATAAACAAAGTTTAAGTTCCTATGGTGTATTTCTGGTTAATGACCCCAAACACTTCTAATATTAAACATTCAAATAAATGTAAGCTATACATACGTTTTAAAATGATGATTAAAAACAAGTAAGATAATTGTTTTTCAACCCACTTATCCCAGTTCAGGCTCAAGGGAGCTGGAACTCATGGCCCAAGGCAAGACCCCACCCTGGACAGGACGCCCTTCTATCAGAGGGCACATCACATGCACTCACTGGGACCATTGAGACACAGCACTCACCTCACACACACAGCTCGGGGACATGGGGAGACACTGGAATACCCAGAGAAAACCCACACGGACATGGGGAGAACAGACTCCACAAAGACAGTGGCCCCGGCCAGAAATCGATCATTTTTTTTTCTGATCAGCATTATAACGAACAATGTTGAATGAAAGGACTTTATTCAAGGACCTGCTGTATCTGTTTCTCCTCAATTCCCCTCTCAATTCAGCTCCAAATAATCCTTATGCCAAAGTGGCATATTTTGGGGTGACATACTCTGCCACCTTGCACAAACAACGTCAAGTTCAACATCAGATTACTCTGTTCTTAAAATCTTTTGACCTCTGCCCTTCTCCCCCCCCAAGGTATATTGCTGTGGCTTCACCCCATTCTGACCAGGCCTCACTTGGACTGCTCGGCCTTCTTCCTTCTTTCTCTGCCCCTCTCCTTTCCCTCCCTCGAGTAACTGCTCGTTATTTAACATTTTATGCTTTTCTTGTAAGTATTACTATAATACTTATAGTAAGTACGCTTCTATCAGGTGGTCAGCTCAGTGAATTCTCACAGACGGCACACATCAGGATAACCCACACCCAGACCAAGAGATAGCATCACGGGCTCCCGGGAGCCCCTCCCACTCACAACCTCCCAAGAGCAACCATCATCCTGACCTGTAATGCCATAGATTAAATTCTGCTTGGCTCTGAATTTCCTATCAGTGGAAGCACACAGTGTGTATTCTTTTTTTTTTTAAATTTTTTTTTTAAATATATTTTATTGATTTTTTACAGAGAGGAAGGGAGAGAGAGAGTTAGAAACATCGATGAGAGAGAAACATCGATCAGCTGCCTCCTGCACATCTCCCACTGGGGATGTGCCCGCAACCCAGGTACATGCCCTTGACCAGAATCGAACCTGGGACTTTTCAGTCCACAGGCCGACGCTCTATCCACTGAGCCAAACCGGTTTCGGTATTCTTTTTATACACTGTAAAAAGACTGGCTTCTTTCTCTCAACCTTTGGCTTGAGAGATTCAGCCATGTTGCGTGTACAGTTCTATAGAATTTATTCTCATTGCTAAATAGACCATTATGTGAAGATACCACATTTATTTATCCTGTTTACTCTTGTTGGGCATTTCACTGTGTCCAGTGTTCAGCGATTTTAAATTGTGCTGTAAAGAAAAATCCTTGTAGATTTTTTTTTTGGAGTAGATTTACACATTTCTGATGGGTGTGTCCATCATAGGTGGCTAGATCCAGTTTCCCCAAGTGGTTGCATCAGTGTATACTCCCACTAGCAGTTGTGTGAAAATTCCCGTTGCTCTGCATCCTCACCAACACTTCGAATTGTCTTTTGCCTTGTATCATTTTGGCGGGTGGGGGGTGGTGTTGCCTTGGCAACTGCGCATTTTCACACAGAGCACTTGGCTTTCATTGATTGTTTGTTGCCTTGGTTTCTGCTTTCCCCTGCCCTAGGAGCTCAGCTTCCCCATAGTGGTTTATTAAGGTGTTTTTCCAAACACAGACCATCCTCTTCCTAGAAGAAATTCCTGTGACTGCTGTTAAGATGATACATGTGAACAAGAGCAGACAAAACCAAACCAAACCATGCCCCAAAGGGTTTATGCTGAAATGTTAACAGTATTATTCTTTGGGTAATGGAATTGTAGGTGCCATTAATTTTCTTCATGCTCATTTTGATTTTCTACATTGAACATATTGTTTGTGTAATTAGAAATTTTTAGACAGGAATATATCTCTATCCATAATTCCGCCACTAATGCAATTGTTTTCATTTCCCTGGCAAATGTTTATATTTTCTGAAAACCACTTAACTGGGTCCAAATAGGACCATTCAAACATTCTTCTCAGCTGAATGCAACCTGCACAGTAATGAAAACGCCAGCTACGCTTTCTGAGTACTCAGGCATAGGTTGGACTGTAGGAAATTGCTGTAAGTATATCGCATCACTGAATTTTGGTGAGAGAGGCGTTATCATCACTCCATTTCACTGATGAGGAAACTGAGGGCTCAGGGAGGTCGAGTAATGCGAGCGTACCAGTTAGGAAATGGCAAGGCTGGAATTTGAATTCAGGTACCTGGCTACGCAGCCAGCTTCCCCCTGCCCATGCCGCCTTTCCCTCGCAGTGCCTGGTGGGATTGCGGCCGAGTCCCTGACCTTCACTCCACTGGAGGACATGATCTTCCTCAAGTGGGAGGAGCCGCAGGAACCCAATGGCCGCATCACTCAGTATGAGGTGGGTTTGGACCCCATGATAGTGAGGGCCCCTGGTGGAAGGCGGGCACGCAGCTTGGAGAGGGAGGTGCAGGGTGGGCGGACAGAAGTGATCATTGAGGTTCCCTCAGCTATGATCAGAGTCTGTGGGTTACAGGGACACGGGACCGGAAGGCAGGAGAGAGAGGTGAAGGTGCCAAGCGGCCTGGGCTAAAGGGAGGCACAGTCCCACTGACCTCCTCCTTGGCCCAGCCTTATCCCTAGCTCACTGAACCATGATGGGTGTGAGGCTACGGGGCCAATGAGGCCCTCCCTATTCCTGTGTCTGCCTACCTGCCCATCCTGCCCCAGATCAGTTACCAGAGCATCGAGTCATCAGACCCGGTGGTGAACGTGCCAGGCCCACGACGTACCATCTCCAAGCTCCGCAATGAAACCTACCACGTCTTCTCCAACCTGCACCCAGGCACCACCTACCTCTTCTCCGTGCGAGCCCGCACGGGCAAAGGCTTCGGCCAGGCAGCACTGACCGAGATCACCACCAACATCTCAGGTAAGCTCCGGACCCTGGCCTGGCCCCTTTGGAGGAGACTCAGAATTCTGGGGTTCCATGGGCACTGGCGGGGTGTGGGGGACCTCCTGGGGGTGGTTGCAGTGAGCTCCTGCTGAGAGAAATGAACCATTTAGGGTTTGAGGTCAGGGAGAATTAAGTCAGAGGGCTCAGGAGACTGTGGTTAGTGGAATGAGAGGGCTGAGGTCAGGGGTCAGGGAAGCTCAAGTGAGAGAGAACAAGGAGCCTAAGGCTGAAGGGGAGGAGATCTAGGGACAGGGGTCCAGGAAGGTGGTGCTTACGCTCCTGTCCCCTTCCCCAGCTCCCAGCTTTGATTATGCTGACATGCCGTCGCCCCTGGGGGAGTCTGAGAACACCATCACCGTGCTGCTGAGGCCTGCCCAGGGCCGCGGTGCGCCCATCAGGTGGGAGAGCCCGGATGGAGGGGCGGGAGGTCAGGGCCATAGGGAAGAGGCCCCTGCTCTGACCCAGAGCCCCCACGCAGGCCAGCTCACCCTTGTCCTCCCTCCGTTTCCCACTCCGAGTTCAGTGTGTCCGGAAGAGGATGTTCTGTGATCATGGGCAGGCAGAATGCCTGTAGCCACGCCCCTCTGAGGCCATGGGTGTCTGGCGGTGATTGTCATGAGCTCTCTGGACAGTGTCCAGCCTGGAGAGGTGACTGGCCAGGCTTCTCCTGGGGCCTTCCCTCAGACACCTTGGAGAAGTGAACTCTGGGGCATTTTTTCTTCTCAGCTTATTTCCTGGAGGGTTCTTCCCAGGGAGACACAGGGATGGGCTTTCTAGAAGGCTGGGCAGCCAGCTGGATAGCACCGTCTCTCTGGAGTGGCCGAGAACGTGGCTTTTCCATTTCCTTCTCCCCAGAAGAAGCTGGGCTGCTGGTGCCATGGTGGCTGCCTTTGCTGGGGAGAAGGTGCTGGCAACAAGTAGGTGTGTGAGAGAAAGACATGTGATGTGTACAGGCGATGCATGCTGTGGATGCGGGAGTGTGTGTGTAGGTGAGAGCAGGAGGGTGTTTGTGGGGTTATGTGCACATACTCGCTGCCAGCCAGACACCATGCTAGGGGCTTTACCTGCACGGACATATATCCTCATGGCATCCTGTGGAGGAGCACTAGTTCCCTTATTTTACGCACCAGGAGACAGGCTCAGAGCCTAAAGAACTTGCCCCCAAGGCCGCACAGCTGGTGAGAGATAGAGCTGGGGTTTTCTCCCAGGTCTGCCTGCAAAGCCAGTACCTTTCCTTGAAGTCACGGAGCCTCCCCGCCCCTCTGGTCCATCCCCTCCTTCCACAAAGGTCCATGCACTGGGAGAGGGTGACAGCTTGTATTTGGGCAGGGGAGGGAAGCCCTGTCAAGAAGGTAGTGAGTTGCTCAGGTACCCATGACACCCCTTACTTTTTCACTCCACCCTCCACTCTTTTCTCCTGCTTTGCCTCCCCCATATTTGCCACTGCGAAGCCTGTCAGAGGTGGATTCCCAGACCTTCAGGGGAGACCCAGAAAAGTGTCAGGGCATCTGAGGAACGTTTTGCCTTTTACAGGAGTCTCAGGGCCCTGATGCACCTGAGTCTCGGAGGAATTGGGAAGCCTTCTCCTTTCCTTGTCTGTGGAGGGTTCCTGTGAGCCTGCCTGCTCAGCATCCCTCTGGGATGATGATGAGGCTGGGCAGAGTGGGGGAGGGGGATGGAGAAGGGAGAGGTATGACGGCTGTGCAACCTTGGGTAGGTCCCTTCACCTCTCTGAGCTCCCTTTCCTTATCTGCATAATGGCTAATGCTGATTATCATCATCTCCTGGTGGGACTCAGGGCCAGGCGAGGCCTGAATTCAGCCTGGCAATTGGAGGCAGAGAGGGGCCTGGGCTGGTATTTGCAACGCACTAGTGACAGGGAATGACCCTGTGTGGCCCAAATCCCAGGATGTTGGGGTGATTCCCCCACAACTTGGAAGCTCAAAAGAAACAGCTGGAGAGCAAGGCAAAGGCATTTCTACTTCCCAGAGCGCAGGCTGTCAGTGTGGGGTGTCACACGCCAAGACGTGATCAAGGCTGTGACTGGAAATATTTAAATTTGTCAGTATTCATTTAGTTACTCTTGGCTTTGTTCCACAGAGGATTTGGAGGAGCTCACAGCAAAAGGCCATTCAGTAAAGTGACATAAATAAAAAGAAATACACAAGTCGGGACCAAGAGACACAGATCAGAGGGAATACAGACCAGGGAACGTTATCAGCCATTAGGGCCGTGAGACGTCCGGCTCAGAGCTATAAACTCCGGTGGCCTCTGGTTGGGAGGGTATTTGGGGTGTAGGGTTAGTGTGTCCTTGTTTGCTTGCTCAGTGACAGTCTCCCCAACAGGAAGTCACTTCCAGGAAGACTAGATCCCCAGGTGCCTAGCACAGGGCCCATTGTCTGAGCTCAGTAAACATCTTCTGAATGAATGAATGAATGAATGAAGGCATCTAGTCTAACTCTAGTTTAAGAGGCTCAGAAGGGAGCCCATGGTGATGACTGTGGAGCCTGAGGCTATGGTTCCGGCTCTGGAGGACTCTTTGAGGTGTCTGCGTGGGGCTTGAGGGCTTGGCTCACCTGAGCAGGGTCCACATTCAGCCTCAATCACAGTAATAACAGCTGATAGGCATTGGCTGCTTGCTAAACGTGCCTCCTTCCGCACACCGTCCTCCTGGAACAGGCCTGTGATAACTCCCCTTCTACAGAGGATGAAACTGAGGCGGGGCGGGGTTCAATGACTTGCCCAGCTAGCAAGAGGCAGAGCGCAGATTAGCCCCAAGCGGGGCCTGACCCCAAAGCCCATGCCATTAGCCCCAGGCAGCTCCCCCTGACCTGGCCCGCTCTCGCCTCCCTCCAGCGTGTACCAGGTGATCGTGCAGGAGGAGCGGCCGCGGAGGCTGCGGCGGGAGCCAGGCGGCCAGGACTGCTTCCCGGTGCCGCTGACCTTCGACGCCGCGCTGGCCCGCGGCCTGGTGCACTACTTCGGGGCTGAACTGGCGGCCAGCAGTCTGCCCGAGGCCATGCCCTTCACCGTGGGCGACAACCAGACCTATCGCGGCTTCTGGAACCCACCGCTTGAGCCCAGGAAAGCTTACCTCATCTACTTCCAGGCAACAAGCCACCTGAAGGGGGTGAGCGACAGGCGGGGGTTGTTGGGGGGCAGACTGGGGATGCCTAGGAGCAGGTGGCCACGGAGGCCAGAGACCCCTCCAGGCCCCGCCCCTTCTCCTGATTCCCGCCCCCTCTATCGGCCCCGCCCTCCTACAGCCCCTTGCTCGCTCCCCGAACTCCGCCCCTCGCCTGAGCCCCGCCCTTCCTCGGAGCCCCGGACCTCCCCAAACCCCTCCTTCTCCTGGAGCCCCGCCCTCCTCATAAGCCCCGCCCACCCTTCGGACCAGGCTCTGCAACTCCAGCACTTCCCTCTTCCCGAGCCTTTTTTTCCCCCTTCCCACTACACTCCTTTTTATCCAAACCCCCAGTCTAGTCCCTGTTCCCTCCCTGAGGCCCTGGTCCTCAATCTGGGGCTCCTCTCTCCCCAGAGGGGTCCTTCTCAGGTTCCTGCTTTCGCCAGACCTCGAGGTCTAGGACCCGCCTCCTCTTTGAAGCCCCGCTCTTCTCCAGGCCCCTCCCTCCCCCATCTCTCCTTCCCAGGCCTGCCCCTTCTAACCAGATCCCTGGACCTAGGCCAGTGACGGCGAACCTTTTGAGCTCCAGGTGTCAGCATTTTGAAAAATCCTAACTTAACTCTGGTGCCGTGTCACATATAGAAATTTTTTTATATTTGCAACCATAGTAAAACAAAGATTTATATTTTTGATATTTATTTTATATATTTAAGTGCCATTTAACAAAGAAAAATCAACCAAAAAAGTGAGTTCGTGTGTCATAGGTTCGCAATCACTGACCTAGGCCCTGTCCTAATTTTGGAGGCTCCGCCCCCTCTCGTCCCCTGTTCCCAATGCCTTTCTTAAGGCATTGCCCTCTTTGCAGGCCTCTTCCCTCCTAGTTCCCCCAGGCCCTCCTGCCCGATGGGGTGTCTTTAGTTACAGTCCACACCAGACAAGCCCTGACCAGGCCCAGGACATGTGTCCAAGGTTTCCTCCTGGGGAGGGTCAGGCCTGGGCTTCCGAAGTGCTGAGACCCCCATCTGTGCCTCCAGGAGACCCGGCTGAATTGCATCCGCATCGCCAGGAAAGGTAAGTCCTGCTGGGTAGGCGGGCTTCTCACTTGCTGCGCTTTGGGAGCCGGACCCCGAGCACCAGGGCTGGAGGAGCAGAGGAGGGTGGTCCAGGCCCTCTGGGGTCAGGAAACATGTTCCTTCTTGGCCCAAGGGCAGCAGGGATAACCCCCTCCCTTCCCTCTCTCCTCATGGCCACAGAAGGGGCCTTGGTAAGGGCTTGGAACAGGCCTGTGGACGGGCAGCCATTATGGTTGGGCCATGGGAGTGATGGATGCTGGGCACTAGCTCTGGGTTCTTATTTGCCCCCTTTCCTGTGTGTGGGGGGGACAGGGCAGACCCTCCTGTGTGGGGACTGTCTCTGCTCCCAAACAGGAAGTGTGGCTGGTTCCCCATCCTGAGATGCCCTAATCACACCCTAGGTACATAATTGTCTCCTCCTGTCACCTCCCAGGAGGAGAAGGTGGGTCTGAAGGTCCCAGGCATCCTCCAACCCCCATTCTCTGTAAGATGGGGGGACTGGAGAAGGCAGAGAGGAGATGGGAGCTATTCCTGATAGGGGAACAGTGCAGGTAAATCCTCTGACACGGGGATGCAGAAGGTGTGAGGGGCGGTGAGGAGACACGTTGAGGAGGGGCAGTTGTCTCTGTGCATGTGTGTTTGTGCAGCCCGGTGCCTTCCTGGTGGCTCAGACCGAGGGGTAGGTGGTCCCTGTCTTCCCCTCTGATCCTTTGTCCTGCTTTTCTCTCCCCAGCTGCCTGCAAGGAAAGCAAGCGGCCCCTGGAGGTGTCCCAGAGATCAGAGGAGATGGGGCTCATCTTGGGCATCTGTGCAGGGGGACTTGCTGTCCTCATCCTCCTCTTGGGGGCCATCATTATCATCATCCGCAAGGGGTGAGTGAGGCTGTGCCCTGGCCCATCCGTGGCTCCTTCCCTTCAGAGGCCTGGTGGGCATAGAGGAGGCATGGCTAGGGCTGGAGCTGGCAGGGCAGCCGCCTGGCGGGTGTGTGGAGGGCTGCCAGCCTAGGCATCAGGCCTGTGGATGGACCCAAGCCGGGTGGTAGGAAGCCAGAGACTCTGCAAATGGAGCTGCCCCTAAGCAGCTTGGCTGGAGCCTGGGTCTGGCTGGTGCCAGGTGCCACTATCCAGGAAAGCAGTGCCTGCTGCCAAGGAGCTGTGCTGGGCCCGCCTGTGCCCGCTGGGCTGTTCAAGTGCAGAAAGTGTGGAGATGACATAATTTTGAATCCCCAGCCCCCGCAGACCTCCTGCCGACTTGTGACTTGTCTGCCCTGACTACAGGGTTGTGGTGTTGACCTTGAGCAGTGGGTGGTGGGGTGGTGGGGTGGTGGGGTGGGAGGGGTGTGTGTGTGTGTGCTCATTCCCCTTCAAAACAAGGACCCTGAGCCTCCCTCTCCTTGGGCTCAGCTTGCCCTGGACCCTGTTATATTGATCCCCTAGGAGTCCTCTTGGGCCCATGACTCAGAGAAGACCTCCCTATGGCCCTTACCATTCCCTAGGCCTCAGAGGTCCAGCCTCGTATTTGTGAGGGCTGTGTGTCTAGTGCATTTGGCAGTGGACAGCATGAATCCCAGCACATCTTAGAAGAGTTCTGGAGTTTCATAACCCAGGATTTGGGATTCTAAGAATCTCAGAATTTAGAATTGTAGAAGCTCAGAGTCCAGAAAGTGAGATGCGAGGCAGTTCAAGGACATCCAGTCTAGTGGGTTTTAAATCTTTTTAAAACAACAGAATGTGTCTTCAGAGCATCAAATAAACCTCCCCTGGGAGCCCAGTACGTGGAGCCGCTGAAGCTGAGTCTCTCTTTGGAGCCCAGTGGGGGCTTCTGAGACTGCTCCCCTCCTACCTCACCCCCCACAGGCAGCCCCAGGACACTGTTCTGCATGCATCTTAATTGAGAATTGGAGATGCTCAGGCCCAGAGGGGTCATGAACCTGCCCAAGGTCACCCAGGGAACCAGAGTCAGAGCCCACTCCACCGGCTCTCCACCTGGGCTCTGGCTCCTGCAGCCCCAGCTGCTGCCAGGCTGGGCGCACATGGATGAGTTGGCGCTGGGTCTCTGGGCTGCCAGGAGCAGATAAGCGGGATCCAGGGAGATGAGGGAGAATTGGCCAGGGCCCCCTGCCGGAGGCCAGGCACCAGCCTGGAGAGATTCTTCCAGAGAGTCTGGGGTAGGACATGCCAGCAGTGGGGTGGTGGCATTGGGGTGGGGGGTGGCCTGCCCAGGGCATTAGGCTTGACTTTTCCCTGGCCTGCTTCCCACATAGCTTCGAGATACAAAATACTTTTAAAGCACCATTTGTTTAGTAGTTACTCTGTGCCAGGAGCATCTCAAATATCACATTAGTTATTGAGTACCTACTGTGTGCCAGACACTATCTGGCTCGGGATACATGAGAGAACATTTTCTTCTTGGACCCTGACTTACGAAGAGGGTCTACTCCCTTTTCATGATGAGGAAATGGTAATTGAGTGACTTGCCCATGTCACTTGACTGATAAGTGGCCGGGTCTGATTTGAGCACAGGCCTGACTGCAAAGCCTGAGCACCCCTCATGGGCAGGGATATGAAGGGTCTCGTCACACTGGGCGCAGTCGATGCAGTAAGTGGCAAGTCCCTATGCTTCTCCCCAGCAGGGGACTTGGGAGTTCACTCGGGTGGGGGTGGAGTTGGGGGGGGGGGCTGGGATCTGGAACAGATGGAGAGGGGTGTAAAGGAGGGGTCGGATATTAGGGGGTTGCATGTGATATTTGAGGCCCTAAAACATCTACCCTCAAGGAGAGAGGATGGGCAAAGTGGGGGATGTCACCCATCCCTGTGGAGAAAGCATTGGGTCTAGGAGACAATGAGCCAGAGATGCTGCCAGGCCTCACTAGGAAACCCTCAGTTTATGCAGCTGCTACCCCATAAACCCTTCAGGCAACCCCAGAGGCTGCCAGCATCCCCTTTCCTCTAAAAGCCATTCAGTCCCATTCTATAGCATGTTACTACCCCCGCCTCTCCCCGCCCGCAACCATTCTACCTGGCCTTCTACCTGGCCTTCGGGGTGCATTGTGCTCCTCAGGGGTCCTGCAGCCTGTACTGTGGGGTGTCAAGTGTCAGAGCAATTTTGGCAGGGATGGGGGTATTCAGATCAACTTGGGGTACCAATGTAATGGACAGATTAGGACTTTGCCGTGGGAGGGCAGTGCACTCTTGTTGGAAGAAGGTCGCTGGGGGTGAGGGATTATGGGAGACAGTCAGGGCCAGCTGGGAAGAGGTGTCAGATGCTCCATCCGGTCCTGCCTGCATGGACAGTGAGACTGGCGGAATCTGCCCCGGACTCCAGAGCTGGGGCGGCCGGGAGGCCTGGCTACCCCAGACCCCAGACTCCAGACCCCAGAGCTCAGGCTGGGTCAGATCCCCTTGCTCTGCCTCTAGAGCCCCTTCCCCTTCCCTTTGCAGCACTTTCTTTTCCTTGCACTTTTTTCATTTATTTACTTGCATTGCTTTACTTGATGCTCATCTTCCCTGCCGATTGAGCTCTGTGAGGACAGAGAAAGTTCTGGAAAGTTCTTGGCTGTGCATCCCCCAGAGAAGAGCCAAACCCATGTTTCCTGCTGCTTAAACCTCACAACAGCCCCGGGGGTGGGGGTGTTATTACCATGACTTGTTAGAGGAGGAATGAAAGCTCATAGAGGTGCAGATGTCTTAGTTTCCCTTATTTATGGATTTCTCATTCAATGAATTATTTATCCAGGGGTTATAATGTGCTGGACACTGTCCTGGGTCCCGGCGATCCAGCTCTGGGCAGGATCCTCTTGTGCTTTGTAGTTAGTGGGGAGCCTTGCATTAAATTAGAAGAAGCACAAATTTATAATTACAAATTGTGAAATGAGCAGGGTGCCTGGGTTGGGAGCAGAGAGAGGGATTGTGGGGGAGTGGTCAGGGAAGGTCCTTTCAAAGTAATGACCTTATAGGGAGACTAGAAGAATGCTATTCTACCACCCCTTCCTTCAGGGTCTCTGTCACCAGCCACAGGGCCCTGGACCCTCCCCTCTGTTGCTAGGATGGATGAAGCATGCCCCGTGACCTGGAGCCAAGCTCCTGCCCTCGCTGGCCCTCAGTCTCCCGCCCTCTCTCCTTCCCTTCCCCTAATCTGCAGGATTTCCTTGTGAAAGGCCATTCATTAGGGTTTCTGCTGATGGGGTGATGTGGGGGCAGGTGAGTGGAGGCCCCTGGATGTGGCCTCAGGAGAGAGCTAGTTCTGGGGCCAGGGTCCTGACCCTGCTCTGGACTCCACTAGCGACCCCCAGAGAGTCTTGGGAAGACCATGGCTGTCTGATGAGACTGAGCCTCCTCGTCTGCCTCCTCTCTTTGCTCTGTGGTCATGGCAGGGCTCTTGACCCAAGCTGTGCTTTGGGTGCCCATGAAGGGCGACCTTGCTCCTTTAATGGACCTCACACCCAGGGGCAGTCCAGATGGGTGAGGGGCCCCCAAGGTTTGCCCCTGATCCCTCTCTACCCTGCCCCAGCCACTTTTTCCCTCCGAGACACAGGTGTACACCAAGGACTGTCACCTCTCAGGGATAGAGAGGCCTGCAGGTGTGAGGGGGATTGGGACTGAGGGGCGGGGGCTGTCTGCAGAGGTGAGTATAGTTACCTTGAGTGTGTGAGTGGGGGATGTCATGTGTGTGAGTGTACACATGTGTGTGTATTGGTGAATATGTGCCTGTGTATCTATCTCAGTGTGTGTGTGTTTAAATAAGTGTGTCTGTGCATGTGAGTCCATGTCTGCATTTGTGAGTGCATGTAGTGTCTGTGTGTTTCTATGTGTGTATCCATCTGAGTGTGCAGACCTCCGTGTGTGTGCACGTATGCACATTTCTCTCTGTGTATGCGTGTGTGAATGACTGAGAGCTCTGCTCCCCCCAGGCGCTTTCCCCAGACCCTTCGCACTCGAGTAGCAGACCCAGGGAAGGTTTTGGAAGGGACTTGGGTCCTGGTCCTAAATAGTTGAGCCTGGCCAGCCCCCTCCTCAGTCTGGAAAGCACCCAGCTCCTCCCTGCTGGCTGGGTGCTGCCTTGGGCCCAGCCTTGTGGGCGGACCTTGGGCCCAACTGTGCTTTTCTCTTTGCACGCTGCCAGGAGAGACCACTATGCGTACTCCTACTACCCGTAAGTAGCTCCACGGGCCTGGGCCCTGGCCCCTCCGTGGGAGCCCCTGCCCCATCCCCTCCTGCTGGGCTTGGGCGCCCACACCCTCTCCATGGCCACCTCTGCCTCTGAGTTTCCCTCCTCTGTCTGACTCTCCTCTCTGTGTTGACCTTCTCACGTGGAGGTCACATGTACTGGCTTTGTAGTCAGAGTCTCAGGTTCAGACCTGGCTCTGCTGGGCCACCCCAGCTAGTCACTTACCCCACTGAGCCACATGACCTTTCACCCCTGAGGCAGCCCCTTGTGCTCCTGAGCCATTCCTGCTGCTCAGACCACGTCTGTGTCAGGAAGGCCTTCACACAGGCCGCTCTGGGTCCACCGTGTGTGTGCACGTGGGGGGCAGGCCGGTGCCCACACTGGCAGCTCTGCACACGCTGCAGACAGCACTCAGGTCACCAGGGGCCCCTTCTTTGCTGGGTGGCCCAGGCTCCTCAGACCCACCGTTTCCTGGGAGCTTCCTCTGGGCTCAGTTCTTCACACAGAATCCTCACCCCAACCCTGAGGAGTAGGAAGTAGGATCCCATTTTACTGATGAGCAAACTGAGGCTCATAGAGGTTAAGGGGCCTGTCAGAGGCCACAGAGCTGGGGTTGCCACCCAGGCCCCTGTCTGACTCCACGGCCTTCTGATGCCGCTCTGTCATCTGCTTCTGTCTTACCTGATTCTGCAAACCTTCTAGAACACTCCCCCCACTACTGCTTGTTCTCCCTCCTTGCAGAGCAGGCTCAGATGGTCCTGGGCCAGGCCAGAGGATGGTGGTCTCTCACCTCCTCCTCCCTGGACCCTCTACTTGCATTGACATCACCCAATGTTACCCTGGCTTTTCCAGCAGCCTCACCCCCATCAACTCTCTCAGCCTCCCGCTCAGCTTTCACAGGAACTGCTGACAAGGCAGCTCTCCCTCCCTCTACCTGTGCGCTTAATTTTTAACCTAAATGCAGAACTTTTCTGTGTGTCCATATTGCATTCAATCTGCTTAGTCCCACCCTGAGATCAGCAGGAGGCCTGCCATGTTCGATGTCCCTCCCGGGTTCTGTCCCCTGTGGACCTGGTTGGTTGGTATTGGTATCCAAGTAGGCTAGGAGGGTGGGCACAGACCCTTTGGTTCACACTGGAGACCCCTCCTAGGCCAGTGTCCACTCATGACGGAGCCTCATTGGGCACCATTGTTCAGCCAGGTTGACTGGCTGTCCTCTGTCTTCCCTGTGGTTTGCTGGTGTCTCCCTGTCCCCTCTCTCTGTCCCCTTTCCCCATCTCTCTTTCCTTTTCATTGTTCCTTTACTTCCTCTCCCTTTCCCCCTCTCCCTCCTCCTCCTCTGTATCTTAATTCTCTTGCCCTCTCTCTTTTCCTCTTCACCTCTTTCCTTCCCTTCTTCCTCCTTTTCCTTTTAGGATGATGGTCAAGGTCACAGCCACAGAGGTTTCTCCCCACCTGCCCCCAAATTAGTCTTTGGCTGTGCCCTGGGCCACAGTGAGGGCGATGCCCAGAGCCTGCGGATGGGGCTGGGAGTAGGAGTCCTGGCCCACTGAGCCGTCTCTGGTCCAGGCTGAGAAGGCTGTGCCTACCTCAGTCACAGCAGCATTGGTCCCCAGCGTGTACACAGAGCCATCTTCTCAGCACAGGAAGGGATCCTGGCAGAAGAGGCATCCAGAGGTCCTCCTGTCCTTCCTCTGCCCTGGGAGCTCTTGAGCCAGGACAGGCTGATTGGAATTTGTCCTGCTGGGATGACCCCTCATTGATCTCTTTATCTCCACAGTAATCAGTGTCCCCAAACCTTCATTACCTGAAAGTCCGTTCTTAATGCTACCCCACATCCTGCATGCTGTAGGGCCGAGCAAATGAATAGTTCTCTTGTCGTGAGCCTCCCCTATGATTGGGCCACCACTCTTCTTCAGTCTCAAGTGGGTCCCAGGTCATTTCCCCATTGCCTGTTGCTTGGCCCCTTGTTCATGGAATTGTGTCCCCTGCCTCCGCACCCTTCCTCCCACTCTCCTCCAACTTCCCTGAGTCACAAACTGCCTCATCTGGCTGGAGGCCTGGACCGGGTGGGGCACTTGCCCAGGGCCCTCTCCAGAAGCTCTGCCCTCTGGGAGGGGCGGGGCCTCTTGCCTTCCCCCTGTGCTGCTTCTAGCAGTTGGATGGGCTGGGGGTTAGTGGTGGGAACGTGGACCCTGTGTGGGTCGCTTTATAAGTCTAGGTGGCCGGTGGTGGGCCCATCCTGGGAGTTCGGGGGTAAGAGCAGCCGGTTGGAGTCCATTCTGGGCCCAGGGGAGGACTCCTGAGCTTGGGCTGAGCGCTAGTCAGACCCTCTGCCAGGAAGGAGGGGTATGGTCCATCCCCTTACACGAGAGAAAGGAGCTCCCGGGCAGGTGTCTGGTGAGGGCAGGGAAGGCGGATGGAGATGGGAGTGCTGGGCTGGAGTGGGGACAGCCGTCTTCCTAGTTTGGGGCGGGGTGACCGTCTGCCGCGTCACCCACATGGGCCCAGAGTGATTTTTCCTCCCATTTCCTGAGGCCTTGGGGCAGGTTCCCACTGCTGCTCTGTCCCTTGCTCTCAGCAAAGGTCCCCAGGACAGGGCCCCTGCTCGGTCCTTTTTTGGGGGGAAGCAGCAGCTCTCCGGGTCTGTTGAGTGAAAGATGGAGGCAGAGTCCCCTCAGCATCCAGAGATGCTTCTAGAATGGCTCCTGGCTTCAAGGCCCGTGAGTGCTGGGCTCCTCGTCCTCTTCTGGGCACAGGCCGGCCCAGCTCAGCACCCCTGTCTCCCATCAACCCCGCTCTGCAGGAAGCCGGTGAACATGACCAAGGCCACCGTCAACTACCGCCAGGAGAAGACGCACATGATGAGCGCCGTGGACCGGAGCTTCACGGACCAGAGCACCCTGCAGGAGGATGAGCGGCTGGGCCTCTCCTTCATGGACGCCCACGGCTACAGCCCCCGGGGTGAGTGCCCGGGTCCAGGCCCCTTCCTCGTGGCTCTGGGGCTCCCCACGTCAGATAAGTTCTGTAATATCCCCCACCAGACTTGAAGCATCTATTGTGCTCCTGCTGTGTACCAGCACTGGTCCTGGAAATGCAGAGAAGGCACAGGCATGACCTTTGCCCTGGAAGAGCTTTAGGAAACATGGTCTTAGACACAGACTCATGGAGGAGGAATGAAGAGCCTGGGTTCATTGTGGGAAGTGCCTCAGGGACTCAGGCGTGTGTGTGATCAGAGGATCAGAACAGTCCCCTGGCTTACGGAGCACCTGCCGTGTGAGCAGCTGGAGACCAGTGGCGAAGAGGGATTACTCTGAAGTCAGATAGACCTGGGCTTGCATCTCAGATCCCAGAAGCTGTGTGATCTTGGGCAAGTGGCTTAACCTCTCTGGATGTCTGCTTCCTCCTCTGCTCTGCTGGTAGGGCTGCTTGAAGACTAAATGAGATCATGTGTTTACATCACTCGTGCTGCATCTGGCAAGCAAGAAGAGTATAGAGAATCAGTTGTATGTGTTAGCGGCTTGTCATAACGCACTTCATCACACATCTGTTTATTCCGTCCCGTGCTGATTTGTACAAAAGAAAGTATGTAATATTTATGAAGATCCTAAAGTCATAATAATACGACAAACACCAGTGAACAGGTGCCCCTCCCCTATCCCATACCTCCCTCTTACATGTAACTATTCCCCTGAAATTGGTGTTTATAGCTTTCTTGCCGTTTGGGGGGTAGTTTTCCTAGTGTGCAAGCATCCCCGGACAGAGCATTGTAGAATTATTCTTGCTTTGGAGCTTTATAAAAATAAACTCACTCTATTTTTCAGCTCCCCATCATGTTTCTAACATTGACCCAGATGGAAGTTTCGCTATAGTTCATTTATTTTCTCTGATGTGTAGTTTTCCATTGTTTGAATCTACTGCAATTTATTTCCCTATTCTGCCATCCATGGACATTTGCTTTGTTCCCCGCTTCCTGTTATTACAAATGAGGCTGCTGTGAACATTCGGAGATGAATCTGCAGATGCACCTGCACAGGAGATGCTAGAACTGCTGGGTTATGGAGTGTGTGTGCTTGTTCCACTTGATAAGACAGCGCCAAATTGTTTTCCGAAGGGGCTCTGCCTGTGTTCGCTCCCAGCAGCAGCGCATGCGAGTTTCCTTTGCTTTACATCAAGATCAGAATTTGCCAGCCTTCTTCACTTTTGCCAAACTGGCTCTTAGAAAATGGTAACTCTCTATAGGCTTAATTTGCATTTCGCTGATTACTAATGAGGTTGAAGATATTTTCACATCATTACTGGCCATTCAGGTTCCTTAGTCCCTGAAATGCCTGTTCATGTCTTTTACCTAATTTTCTGTTGGTTTTTTTCTGTTGCTTTCTTAGTGGTTTTTAAAAGTTCTTTATATATTTGGGATGATAATCATTTGTGACTTATGAATTGCAAATATCTTCTCTCAATTTGTGAGTCATCTTCGCAGGTTATTTATAGTGTCTTTGGATGAATAGCTTTTTATTTCAGTTTAGTCAAGTTCATCCATCTTTTAGAGTTCTACTTTTTGTAGATCTTAAAGATTTCTTCCTTATGTAGGGTCATAAAATATTTTTTACTATCTCTATAACCTTTTTTCGTTGTTGTTAATCCTCACTTGAAGATATTTTTCCGTTGATTTTTAGAGAGAATGGAAGGGAGGGGGAGAGACAGAGAGATAGGAACATCGATGTGAGAGAGGTAGATGGATTGGTTGCCTCCCGCACGTGCCCCAGGGATTTAGGGATCGAGCCTGCAATGGAGCTATGTGCCCTTGACCAGAATCGAACCTGGGACCCTTTAGCCCAGTGATGGCGAACCTTTTGAGCTCGGCGTGTCAGCATTTTGAAAAACCCTAACTTAACTCTGGTACCGTGTCACATATAGAAATTTTTTTATATTTGCAACGATAGTAAAACAAAGACTTATATTTTTGATATTTATTTTATATATTTAAATGCCATTTAACAAAGAAAAATCAACCAAAAAAATGAGTTCGCGTGTCACCTCTGACACGCGTGTCATAGGTTCGCCATCACTGCTTTAGTCCATGGGCTGACACTCTATCCACTGAGCCAAACCGACCAAGGCTAAAACATTTAATAATTTGCATTTCACATTTAAAGCTTTATCTATTTGTGATTGATTTTTGTGTGTAATATGAATTAAAGATTTTATTTTTTTTCTATGAGGAAAACCAACTGTCCCAGCATCAGGCATTATAGTTCATACTTTCACTACTGATTTGCAATGTCATCCTTATCATATATCACATTTCCATACATATGTGGATTGTTTTTTGGCTCCCTATTCTCTTTCATTGGCCAATCTGGTGATTCCTGTGCCAATACCACATTTTCTAACTTCTGTAATATTATATCTTGATATCTGAAACATCAAGCCCTCCTGACTTTGTTCTTCATCAGGGATGTCTTTACTATATTTGTGCTCATTCTCTGTCTTATAAATTTCATAATTATCTTTTCAAGTTCTTTGGAAAACTTTGTTAGATGGATTTGTATTGAATATGTAGATCAATTTTGGGGGAAACTGACATGAAACTTTCTTTCCATTTATGAATATGATATACTAGAGGCCCAGTGCACGAAATTTGTGCCTTTGGGGCGGGGGGGGGGGGAGAGGGGGGCCCCTCAGCCCAGATTTTGAGAGGGTGCAGGCCAGGCCAAGGGACCCCACCAGTGCATGATCGGGGCTGGGGAGGGATGCAGGAGGTTGGCTGGCTGGGGAGGGACTGCAGGAGGGCTCCAGGGCATGTTCGGCCCATCTCGCTCAGTCTTGATCAGCAGATCCTGGCAACAAGCTAACCTACCAGTTGGAGCGTCTGCCCCCTGGTGGTCAGTGCACATCATAGCAAGCTGTTGGGTGACCTTAGCATATCATTAGCATATTACGCTTTGACTGGTTGAATGGCTGACCGGATGACCAGACACTTTTATAGGATATCACCCCATTTATTTAGGTCCTGAATGTCTTTCAACTATTCTTTCTACAAAACTTATACATTTTTGTTAGGTATACCCCCAGGTCCCTTATATTTTTTATTTATATTGCAAATGATACCTTTTTTGTGCATGTGTGGTAAAATACACATAACATGAAATTTACCATCTTAGCCATTTTTAAGTGTACAGTGCAGTGTATTAAATTCATTCACAGTGTTGTGCAGAGTTTCTGCCATCCACCTTCATAGCTCTCTTCACTTGTAGACTGAAATTCTGTGCTCCTTAAATAATAACTCCTCCTTCCCCTCTCTTCCCAGCCTCTGGCAGCTACCATTCTACCCTCTGTCTCTATGATTTTGACTATTCTTTTATCTCATATAAGTGTTTGTGTTTTTGTGACTGGCTTCTTTCACTTAGCATAATGTCCTCAAGGTTTCTCCATCTTGTAGCATCTTTCAAAATCTGCCCCCCCTCCTTTTAAAGGCTGAATAATATTCCATTGTATATAGAAATCACATTTTAAAAATCCATTTATCTGTCAATAGACACTTGGGTTGCTTCTATATTTAAACTATTGTGAATAATACTGTTACGAACACGGATGTCTGTGAGACCCTGCTTTCAGTTTGTGTGTTTGTTTGTTTTTTTAATCTATATCCAGAAATGGAATTGCTGGATCATAAAGTAATTCTATGTTTAATATTTTTTTTGAGAAACCGCCATATTTTCCATGCGGCTATACCATTTTACATTCCCACCAACAGTGTACAAGGGTTCCAGTTTCTCCACATTCTTGCCAGTACTTGTATTTTCTGCCTTTTTTTTTTTTTTTGGATAAATGCCATCTAAGGAGAATGGGTGGGATCGCGTAGTTTTGATTGGCATGTCCCTAATGTCAAAGGTTGTGCATGTGCTGTCTGTGCATCTTCTTTGGAGAAATGACTGTTCAAGCCCTTTGCCCATTTTGAATCAGGTTTTTGTTGTTATTGTTGTTGTTGAGTTTTAGACACTCTCTCTCTATAGTCTGGATATTAATTCCTTCTCAGATATCTGATTTGCATATATTTTCTCCCATTCTGTGGGTTACCTTTTTATTTTGCGAATAGTATCTCTTGGTGCACAAACATTTAAAATTTTCATGAAGTCCAATTTGCCTTTTTTTTGTGTGATTTTTTTGTTTTTTTGTTGTTGCCTGTGCCTTTTAGAAATCATTGCCACCCTACATTTTCTTCTCAGAGTTTTATAATAAAGCTTTAGGTCTCACATTTAGGTCTTGGATCCATTTTGACTTAAGCTTTGTATATGATGTTAGATAAGGGTCCAACTTTATTCTTTTGTTTGTGGCTACCCAGTTTTCCCGGTACAAATGGTATACTTTTAAAATATGACATGTCTAATTGTTGCTTGTATAGACGATGTAGTTGAGTTCTGTATGTAACTAGATCTCATATGCATACTTTTTGATAAAATTTCTCATTAATTATAATTTGTCTGTAGAATCTTCCAGATTTTCTCAGTACAATCATAAGAACTGCAGATACTGACAGTTCTGTTTCTTCTTTATTTCTCACTCCTTTCCCTCTTGTCTTTCTGAATAGCACTGGTTGGGAACTCTCGTACTGTGTTAAATGGAAGTAGTAATAGCTGGAATTCTTGTCACATTTTCCTGATTTTAAAAGGAGTGCTTCTAACATGAAACACTGAGAATGACACTGACTATAGTTTTTGGTAGAAACGTTTTATCAGATTAACAAAGTTCCTTCAGTTTTAGGTTGCTAGGACATTTTATTTTAAATGGGCATTAAACTTACCAAATCCTTTTTTCTGCCTTATTGACATATTTCCCCCCCATACCTTGTTAATGAGGCAAGTGACATTTAGCTTTTCTAGTGTTAAAGTAACCTTTGAGTCCTGAGATAAGTTCAACTTGGCCATGTTGCATTAGATTTTTTATGTATTGCTGGATTCAGTATAATTATTATATCGTTCAAGTTTTTAAAGCTGTATTTTCTGAGTGGGATTGTGCTATCTTTGTTTGGTTTCTGACATCAAAATTCTGTTAGTCTTATAAAATGCATTGAAGTTTCTTTTCTTTTTGCCTTATCATGGAAGATCGGAATAAATGTCTCCTTGAAAGTCTGATGGAATTCATCTGTAAAACAATCTCTTTCTGTTCTTTTCTCTATGAAAAATTTAAACTTTTAATTCAACGAATTTAAAGGAGTAAAGGATTATTGAAGCTCTCTATTTCTTTCTTGAGCCACTTTTAGTAAGTTAATTTTTTTCTAAGAGTTTGTCCATTTCATTCAAGTTTTCAAATTCATTGACATGTAGTCTCTCATCATGTTCTCTTTGTGGTCTCCCTCAAATTTTCACCGCAGTGCGTGGTAGCTGTTATCAACGCTTCATGTTACAAACAAGGAAACAGAAGCTCAAAGAGGCAAAGTTACTTGTCCAGGTCAAAGAGCCAGGAAGTGGCATAGCCAGGATTTAAATGCAGGTCTTTCTGAGTTGCAAACTTCTGTTTCTACTGTATCCTGCTAGGCCTTGAGCAATGGGTATGATTTGGACAGGCAGAGATGGGAAAGAAAGGGCGTTCGTGGATGAGGAACAGCAAGTGCAAATGCACGGGGGTGGGCATATAATCTTTATGGAAAGCAAGGAGAAGTCTGATCAGACTGAAAACTCCAGTGGGTGTTGGGGAGAGTGGGAGGGGAGGGTGATGGGGGCGCACATCTTGCTGCTGTGTCCTGTTGAGAGACCCAGAGGCAGGAAACCCGGGCTCTGCTCCCAAGGAACTCACTGACGGGCTGGGGAGACAAGGCCGAGCCAGGGAAGTCAGCGCCAGGCTAATCGCCAGGTGGGTGATGGGGACTGCTAGTGCTGCCAGGGTTTTGAGAAGATACACCTTTGGGCAGGGGTGGCCAGGTTTTCGGCTGAGATGGGTAAGATTTGACTGATGGTGAGGAGGGAGTGGGCACTGAAGGTGGGATGCAGGACCTGGGTGAAGAGGTGACAGCAGGGGAACTCAAGGAACTTTCTGGAGGCCGGAGCTGAGCCTCAGCGTCTTCTCTCTATTTCTCCAGGCCCCACCCTGCTCTAGCCTCCACTTTCTTTTCTTTCCCAAACAGTGTAGGCCAGATCTGGGGGGTTTAGAACAGAAAGCCATGTTGATTTGGATGCATGCTCAGTGTGCACATGTTAAAATCGGGACTTCTCGTGCTGAGCAAATGGTGGCAGGCGGGCTGTGAATGTTCCCAAGGTGTTGGGATGTGTCCCTGTTGTCTCTGAAATCCTGCCTATGAGAACCCTCAGAGCCTCTGGGCCTGGCCATTCAGCACTCGTGATCTGTGCCTCCTTGTGAGGCTGCGTCAGGCTGCCCAACTTTCAGGGTCTCTGGGATGAGCTGCTGGATTCCCCATCACCTCCTTTACCCTCTTCGCTACCGGGAGAGCCCTCCATAGAGCTGTCGGCATGGTTTCCGCAAAGAGCACTAGGAATCCTCCCCCCTCCCCGCCCCCCTCCCATCTTGGAGTTCTTCGAACCAGCAGAAATCCTTTGTTTGGAAAGCTTTGCACTTGTGTGTTTGCTGTAGTGCAGTTTAGAATTGTCAGGTCCTGGACCGAGATCCTACAGTGGAGAGGGACTAAGGCAGGAAGGCCTCCTCTTGTCAGCCAGCTGCCGCGGCTCTCTGAGACTCAAGGGTTCCTCCCTTTTCTGGAAACTACTCCTAAGTCAATAGCTGCCATCTGCAGGCGCTCATCATGTGCCCGGCACGGGGCTGCGTGCTTCTCGCACATTCTCTTATTTAATATTTACATCCTCAGGTTGGAGAGTAACAGGTCTTTGTTTTTTCATTTGACTCGTGAAAGTGACAATTCGGAGAGAGTGACATCCCCAAGGTCACCGGCAGAGCTGGGGTTTGATCTGCGGCCTGACTCCAGAGCCCGTCTCTTAATCGCCACATTACACTGTGTTCCCTGAGGGCGTTTCATGAAACAAAAAAGCTCTCACGGTGCAGGCCGGGGGTGAAACATTGCTGTATCCGCCCCTCTCTTGGAGATTTAAAATGCACACGACCATGTTGGAAGCCCTAAACAGGTCTTACAGGAAAAAAACCTGCTTATTATTTTTAAACCAGAATTTCAAAGGTTTCCTTAAAACGTAGAACCCCTCTTTGTCCTCCTCCTCCTCTTTTTTTTTTTATATATATTTTATTGATTTTTTACAGAGAGGAAGGGAGAGAGATAGAGAGTTAGAAACATCGATGAGAGAGAAACATCGATCAGCTGCCTCCTGCACACCTCCCACTGGGGATGTGCCCGCAACCCAGGTACATGCCCTTGACCGGAATCGAACCCGGGACCTTTCAGTCCGCAGGCCGATGCTCTATCATTGAGCCAAACCGGTTTCGGCCTCCTCCTCTTTTTAATGGAATACCACTTAGTCATGTGACATGACTAGTATTTTCTGGAACACACTTGGGCAACGGCTGCATTAGGCAAGTCTCTCATCTTTGGACTTCAGTTTCCTCATCTGTAAAATTAAGGGTTTGGGCATCTGGCCACGATGGCGTAACAGGCACTCGACTTGCTCTCCGGCTGTAAGCAACTAGAAATCTGGACAAAAGATGTGAAGCAATTGTTTTCGGACATTGAATAGCAGCAGCTCAGGACTTTGATTCTTGAGAGAAGAGAAACGTATAAGCCCTGCCGTGGCAATTGCCTTTCTGCTTGGAGCCCCTAAAGCCAGTTTTCAAACCCAGCACAGAAAGGGGGGCCCAAGCAGGGCCCGGCAGTCTTCTGATTTGAAGGGACAGGGGCTGGAGTTTGAGGAAGTCGGGTGCCGGGGTCCAACCCCAGCAGGTCCAGGGGTCCCCAAAGGTGTGGATGGAGTCGGCGAAGAAGGAAGAACACGGAGACAGTGTTCAGTTGATCAGCAGCCTAGCCAGGATCTCTAGCCAGGATCTCCAGCCAAGTTCTGGTCTGGATCTCCAGCGAAGTTCTGCTTAGGATCTCCTGCCAGGGTCTGTGTCCATGTTCTCTTGCTAGGTTCTGTCTCTAGGTTCTGAGGCCAGTTTCTATCCAGGAACTTTTGCCATGTTCTCTCCAGCGAAGTTCTTCTGTCTCTACAGAACGTTTTGTGTAGGTTCTGTGCCTAGGTTCTGTCTCTCTTGGTTCTGTCTTCTTACATCTGTATTTATACCAGTTGATTCCAATCCTATCAATCTCTATTTCAAAGGTTAGGGCGTTTCTTATCTCCATTCCAGGGAGTAAAGATTATGTAGCTTAAGCATGATTGTTCGTAGTTAAAGTGATTAATTACCCACCTGGCACTTAGTTAAGAGGTTTTATTCCCTCCCTAACTTCAGGGGAAAATCCCTACCTGGGGAAACAACCTTTCTCAGAGACCTTGGTTAAAACACATAGTGCCAAGAAGGTGAGCAAACATATTAAGAACAGTATGCCATATATGCCAGGTCCCTTGAAACAGCAAGCATGGACCGGCTCCCGGCAGTCGGGGTGTGTAGGGTGTGCCTGGTGCTCATTCATTCATTCTATCAGTGAGTCGTGAGTAGGAATTAGAGGCCAGGCACCACTTGGCTGAGATCTGAAGGATGAGTGTGAGTTCACCAGGCAAAAACAGGAGGGGAAGGGTGTTGGAAGCAGAGGGAACAGCATGTGTGAAGGCAGAAGGAAGGGTGGGGGCTGGCATGCAGGCCCCACTGGCAGTTCCCCACTCTCCCCTGCCAGCTCAGACCTGGGCAGAGAGTAGCTGTGAGAAATTCGGGGGGCTGGCCTAGAGTCCCCCACCCCTTACCCAGGACAAGAGGGGAAGGAGTGTTAAATAAGTGTGCGGGAGTGAGTGTGTGAAGGTGGGAGGACTGAGTGGGCTGTTTTCTCAATCCCAGGACCTGATCTCAGGGACCAGGTGGGACATCCTTGGAGGGACGGACCGGAAGAACCAGGGAGTGGGTTGGTCAGGGGGGAGGGTACAATTTTATTGGGGGGCACTGTGAACCTCCCCACCCGTTCCCTGATTGGCTGAGGCTGCTGCACAGACTGACAATGGAAATGCTTGCACAGGGAAAATGTCTCTATTCAGGTGCCTTGCGTTAATCTGCAGAGGGGGTGGCCTCAGCCGCTAATTTTGGGATTTGCTTATCTTTGAGTTTTGGGATTTGCTTGTCTTTGAATGGGGGTAATTGCTGGGAGTTGCCAGAGTTCCAGATTGTTCCCTGAAAGAGCGAGGAAGGACGGGGCTGTCACAGGCTCTGCTGAGTGCTGTCCCCTTCAGGGAGATGGAGAAGTCACAGAGGTCTGGTCCTGGGAGGGAGCAGAGGGATGCGGTGAGGGGACCACAGGATCACAGCAGGCAGGGCCGGGCCAGGAGGGCCCTCAGAGGTTACATGATCTGACCTGCTCATTTTACAGATGGGAAAACCCAGATGCAGTAGGGAAGGCACTTGCCCAAGGTCACATGGGAGGGTCCAGCGAGGCCGCTTGGCTCCCGTGAACCACCCAGCCATCCTCCACGTTGCCCATACTCCCTCCTTCCCTGGCTCCTGTAGTCCCTCAGGGGCTCCCCAGGCTGGGCCTGTGTGTGTCAGGAACCCCTTTCCCTTTCTCCAACTGCAGGGGACCAGCGCGGCAATGGGGTCACTGAGGCCAGCAGCCTTCTGGGGGGCTCACCGCGGCGTCCGTGTGGCCGGAAGGGCTCCCCGTATCACACGGGGCAGCTGCATCCTGCGGTGCGTGTGGCCGACCTCCTGCAGCACATCAACCAGATGAAGACGGCCGAGGGCTATGGCTTCAAGCAGGAGTACGAGGTGCAGGGCCCCAGGCCAGCCAGGGCCCCTCACCAGGGCCTCGCCTGTTCCTCCCTGTGCACCCTGCCCTTGCCGACCCTCAGCCCCCTCCCAAGGGACTCTTGCTCTGACGGTCCCCAACTTAATTTAATTTCTTTTACTTGACCCTGATCCTAACCTCAGACTTAATCTGATTTCTCACTTGTCTCCTAACCCTGACTTGAAATCTGACCTTGAATCTTACCTTCATTTCCATTCTGATCAAGCTCCTCATCCTATTCCTAACAGGATCTTGACCACCAACACTGACCCTGACCTCAAACCCCCAGTCTGACTCTGACCCTGACTGTCATCCTAAGCTCCATTTAACTCTAGCTTGAATCCCATCCTCCCTCTCTCTAGACCAGTGGTTCTCAACCTATGGGTCGCGACCCCTTTGGGGGTCGAACGACCCTTTCACAGGAGTCGCCTAAGACCATCGGAAAACACATATATAATTACATATTGTTTTTGTGATTAATCCCTATGCTTTAATTATGTTCAATTTGTAACAATGAAATTGGGGGTCACCACAACATGAGCAACTGTATGAAAGGGTCGCGGCATTAGGAAGGTTGAGAACCACTGCTCTAGACTCTGACACCACCCTTTTCCTAATCTTAATTTGACCCTTACTTTTACCTCATTTCCCAACTCAAACCTGGATTTAACCTAAACCTGATTCTTATCTTAAAATGTCTCTGAATTCTCGTTTTTCCCCCTTTTCTCACTCTCTCCTCCCCCACCGCTGCTTGGTTTTGAACCAAGCTGATAAAGGGATTTACAGTGACTTTATCTTAGGCTCCAAGTTTAACCACGAACCTGGCCCTTATCATGGTCCCACCAGCATCCTGCTGAGAGGATAGGGTTCTTAGGAGTGGAGGGCTTCTCTCCCCACTGACTTCCACTTTCCCTTCTGGCAGAGCTTCTTTGAAGGCTGGGATGCCACAAAGAAGAAAGACAAGGTCAAGGGCAGCCGACAGGAGCCCTTGCCTGCCTGTGAGTGCTGGGGAGGGGCCTGGGGTCTGGGGCAGTGGGTGGGTGGGGGGGGGTAGGAAGGGGAGGACAGCCAGAGGGAGCCATGTATTGAGTGTCTACCATGTGCACAGCCGTGTGCTGAGCGTTACACCCATTACCTCACTTATTCTTCTCAATAACTCTGTCACGTGGGACATATTGTAACCCCACTTTACAGGTAAGGAAACTGAGGTGTGGGACGTTAAGGTCCTTGCCCAAGGTCACAGAGCTAATACTTATCTGTGTAGCATACAACCTCTGGCCTTCATGATGCTGTAGCCCAGACACTAACCAATGGCCTGTCCTGTCCCTCGTGGTCTACAGACCTATTGGTCAGTTTCCTGGCTGCCTTGCCTCTGCCCCACATCTGGCTTCCAGGAAGCCTTTCCTCTTAGCACCTGCTCTGGCTCCCCAGCTCAGCCCCTGCCCACCCCATTGCCCCTGCTCTCTGCTTCCAGATGATCGGCACCGAGTGAAGCTCCACCCGATGTTGGGAGACCCGGATGCCGACTACATTAACGCCAACTATATAGACGTGAGTGCCTCTCCCCTGCCATCTCTGCTGACCTGGCCCTGCTCACTCCAGGCTCCCTGTCCCCGTGGGGCAGAACCTGTCAGGGGATACGTGGGGATCCAAATGGCTGGGTTCTGAGCGCCCCTGTCTCCTGCATCAGTGCCAGGGAGCTCAGCAGGGGGACAGAGTGGGCGCAGTCATCAGGAAGGCCTCCTGCAGACTTCGGGGCTTGGCGGCCTCAGAGATGCAGAATAAAGGGAGGAGGGTAGACAGCGAGGCCCAGCCGCGAGGAAGGATCCGCTCTCGGTGAGGGGCCAAGGGGCTTGGAGCTGGGATTGTCATGACACACAGTGAGGCTGAAGGTAGGCAGGGGCTGGAGTGTGAAGGCCTCAAATGACAGGTGAAGGAATTGGGGCTTTTCCTCAGGGGTACCAGGGAGCTGTTAAACGTTTTGACCGTGATCAGAATGGTACCTAAGGATAAGAATTCATATTTATTCAGCACGTCCGGTATGCCAAGCACTGTGCTAAGCACTTTATACCAAATATTTAATTTTACATAATCCCTGCAACCACCCTGGGACGTAGTTAGCGTCATGACCTCCCTTTATAGGTGAGGACTCGGGGGCTCAGAGAGGTGAGGCTCCCTCTCCTGGGTCATACAGCTAGTGCCTCCGTCAAGAAGGGACTCAGATCTCAGCCTGTGTCTCCAAAGCCTTGGCTGCGAACTGTGAGGCCCTCCTGCCATCACTGCAGCACCTGGGTCTGGCTGACCAGTGGGCGGGGGGCCGGGGGGGAGCGGGGGGAGGAGGGGCCAGAGACAGGGCAGGCAGCCAGGAGGTCTGGCCTGGGTGTGAAGAAGGGGTGACGAGTCTACTCCCACATATGGCGGAGGGTGAGACAAGACACTGGTCAGACTCCCTCAGCCTGTAGCACGCCAGGTTTGGGGGAGAATCACTGATTCGCTAAGCAGATATAATCTGAGCACCTACCATGTACCAGGCATTGTGCTGGACACCAGGGATGCAGTAGTGAACAAGACAGACACGGTGCCTGCTCTCCTTGAACACGTACGTTCTAGTTGGGGAGACACATAACTATATACACAAGTTCAGTGTCAGATCAGAGGGGAAAGCGCAGGCCAGAAAAGAGGAAGGACTTTCCCAGGTCCCACAGCAGGTTAGTGGCAGGGCCACACAGCCACGGTCAGCCCTGGTCGGCTGCCTGGAGGAAGGAGGGCTTCGCTGGCTTTGGGCGGCTGCAGAGGAGAGGGAAGGACACCCCAGGGAGGGAGGAGCGTGAGCGAAGGCCTGAGGTGTGTAGGAGGAGGAAGGGGTGCATTTGGGAGGTGGGGTAGTTGGGGATTCTGGGGATGACCTTCTTCTCCCTGTTCTTCCCCCCCTCCTGGGGGCCAGGCAAGCTAAGCTCTATTTCCCAGAATGCCTTGCCTTCTCCCCCACCTCCCATCCTCTCTCCTGGCTGGGATATGGGCGGGGCCTGGCTTCTCAGACTGAAGCAACTTTGATGACTGAGGCCTTTCCTCGATCTCCTCAAGGTCCCAATTGGCTTCTTCTTGGGCCCCAGCAGGGACACGCCACTACCCCTCCCTGGCCCCCCCTCCCCTACCCTCCCCTCCACTGCCTCCGCTCTGCCTCCCCTGCTCGCATCGCCCATTCTGGCCACTTCTGTGCTCCGTCCACCTCCATCTGCCTCTGGCCTAACATCTGTCTCTTTTGCTTTGTACTGTTCCCTCACTGGAATCATTAAGATTCGGATAAACCGTGAAGTAAGTATATCTCCCCTTCCCCGTTTCCTCTTCCTCCTGTCTGTCTGACCGGCTGTATCTCAGATTCTCTCTCGGTCTCTGTCCTCTTTCCCTTCACTTGTGTGCCCCACACCAACCGTCCATTTCAGCAGCCTGGCCGGGGGCTGCCCAGGGCTGCCGACTCGACACTGTCCCTGTTGTAAGCATCTCCCTGCCATCCTCCAGTGCTCTGCGGTGGGCAGCAGGGTTGGGTGCTCCCGCAGGCCCTGTTATGCACCAGCTACCACCTTCTGTCATCTTTGTCCTCCAGCCCGTGCTGTGCCCCAGTCCTCTCACTAGCCACACCTTCGGGGGCCCTGGGAAGGATGGGCAGGGGGAGCTGCCTGGGGGCCCTGTCTCTGCTGCTTCGGGGTCAGGATTGTTTTTCAAGGAAGCAAGACAGCCATGGTCAGTCCCCTTAAAACTAGTTTCCCTGGTGTTCCAATCCCTTAGTGATGAGTTTGCTTGAATTCAACCCCAACCACTTTGCCCTCAATTTAGCCCTAATTTGAATGTTTTATTTTGGGGGAGCAGTTTGGCTATTCTATTTTTAATACATTGTGTCATCGTTGGGCCTTTAAGACCATAAAAAAAACCCAAATTCATCTAGTGATCCTCTGATTTGATTTATAGATATACTAGTGGCCCAGTGCACAAAATTCGTGCACGGGGGTGTGTGTCCCTCAGCCCGGCCTGTACCCTCTCCAATCTGGGATCCCTGTGAGATCGGGCCTAAACTGGCAGTCGGACATCCCTCTCACAATCGGGACTGCTGGCTCCTAATCGCTCACCTGCCTGCCTGATTGCCCCTAACCACTCTGCTTGCTGGCCTGCTCCCCCCCAACTGCTCCCCCCCACTGGCCTTCTTGCCCCCAACTGCCCCCCCCTGCCGGCCTGCTCAACCCCAACTGCCCCCCTTGCCAGCCTGCTCGCCCCCAACTGCTCCCCCCCCACCCCCCCGCTGGCCTGATTACCCCCAACTGCCTTCCCCTCCTGGCCTAATCGCTCCTAACCACCTCTGCTTTGGCCCCATCACCATGGTTTTGTCTGGAAGGATGTCCAGAAGATCTCCCAGAAGGTCTCCTGGTCTAATTAGCATATTACCCTTTTATTGGTATAGATTATTTTCATAATATTTGATGCCTAATGGGATTGCTTGCTATTTTGTGGGTACCTTTTCTATTTTAATTTCCTCATTTCTTTAAAAAATATTTTTCTTGATTTTTCTTTATGATTGCAAAAATATGGCTCATTATCAGACAACACGGAGACGCCTCACGTAAAGTGAAAGTTCCCTGCAGTCACATCTGCTGGAGGTGACCAGTTACTGCAGATGTGCTCCCAGACACCCCCTTACATTGGGAGTGCTTATTCTGTGAGGTTCCCCAAATTTAAATGGGGCATTAGACCCACGAAGTGCAGTGGCTGCACTCGGCCCTCGCGCCTCCATTAAGAGGTGATGAATATAGGTGGCTATACTTCTGTATGCCCTGTTTCCACACAACACACAGCCCCACTCTCTTGGCTCTTTGTTGTCAGACCCTTAAGAAACACCCTCAGAAGCTTGGCTTAAAGGCTTCACACAGCAGTCAACATGAGTGCTGCTGTGCTGTGCTAGCACCTCATCCTCACCGCATTCTGCAAGCTGGGGGACCACGTTTGGCAGATGAGAAAATCGAGACTTAGAAAAGTTAGGTGACTTGTTTGCAACTGCATGGAGCCGGGCCTCCACCCCAGCCTGAGCCCTCAATCCTCACACTGGACTGTGGTTCTTCCCCTTTGGGGAGCATCAGGAACCCTGGGGGTCTCACCCATGATGCCAGTGGTCGGTCTCCCAGTTCCACCCCCTTGGAGGCTGCAGGGAGGGGTGGGGGCGGGGTCAGGCTCCTAGGACACGCTGATGCCCTGGAGTGTGAGGCCCAGAGCTCTCTCTCCCATGCTGGTCTCTGAAGTGGGTTTGCTCAAGACGGATCCCTTCTCTTCCTTTAAATCTGATTGTTTTAAACTTTCTACTTCACTGTCCTCTATGTAATATAATTATGCAATAATGCATGTACACAATTAAAAAGGTAATGTGCATATATTGAGGGTTATCTGTTTAAAAACTTGCACTTGCTGACTAGCATGTGGGCGGGTGCTGGGCCCTGCAGAGAGAGAGAGAGAGAGAGAGAGAGAGAGAGAGAGAGAGAGAGAGAGAGAGAGAGACACGGATGGATCTGAAGAGGCTCTGGCTCCCATGTGGGCTCTCAGGCAAGTGGGTTTTATTTTAGGTGGAGTAGCCTGTTCCCAGCTTGACCGGCACTGGGGAGGGGGCAGCACTGGTGCACCCTTGCTGGGCCCTCCCCTCTAACCCCAGCTGCCCAGCAGCTCTGCTGAGGACGCAGAGCAGAGGCAATGGCTCGGGAGACAGCAGAAGGGCACTGGGCTAGACCGGGAGGAGCCCGGTACTGAGGGCTGAGTGGGTCTGGGCGGCTTTTCATTATTGGTGTCTTTGTGTTGTGGGCTCTGAGGTGCACGTCTCCTATTATGCCGAGAACCGAGCTTAGAGAGGCTGAGAGTCTGGCTACGCAAAGTGTTTTGAGGCCCAGCATCAGCACCACCGGGGAGGTGGTTGGAAATGCATAGTTCCGGGCCCCACCCCAGACCTTCTGCAGCAGAACCCGCCTTTAACTGGACCCCCAGGTGCACACGAGAGGCTGAGAAGTGCCCTGCGGTCTATAGAGCAGCGGTTCTCAACCTGTGGGTCGCGACCCCTTTGGGGGTGGAACGACCCTTTCACAGGGGTCGCCTAAGACCATCGGAAAACACATATATAATTACATATTGTTTTGTGATTCATAACTACGCTTTAATTATGTTCAATTTGTAACAATGAAATTGGGGGTCACCACAACATGCGGAACTGTATGAAAGGGTCGCGGCATTAGGAAGGTTGAGAACCACTGCTCTAGAGTCACATAGCTACTACTTGGCAGAGCTGTGACAAGAACTGGGTCAACTTGACTCCAAGGATAAGATTCTTAACCTCACCATAAACCACCTTCTGCCCCAGAAATTCTTGACATCCACACTATTTGGATCTTGAAAGATAAGATACTCTTGGACCTTTGAAGTAGTTGTAATAATGATAGTTATGTTGATTAAGTGCTGACACTGTGCTTGCCTTGGTGCCAAACCCTGACATATGTTACTTCACTCTTCACAACAGCCCAAGGCAGTACAGTAGATACTGGAGTCTTTCCCGTTGTATAGATGTGAACATCGAGGCGTAGAGAGGCGAAGCGATTTGCCTAAGGGCACACAAGTTAGCAAGAGCTCCACAGAGCTGGGGTTTGAACCCTGGTGGTCTGGCTCCAGGGCTCCTTGGGCCTGGGGTGGAGGAGTTCAGGGAGGGCATGAACTTGAGACAAGTGGCTGACCTTGGTGGTTTTCTCTTGCTCCAGCCCTGCAGGACTTCTTATATGTAATCCCGTACCTTTGTGATACCCTGGGTATCTTGTTTGGGCAGGACCTCCTGGGCAGCTGTGGCCCTGGGGCAGGGGTGAGGCAGGGGTGGGGTCTGGCCAGTGCCTCTTCTCTGCCTGAGGGCCCTGGGCATGGAGGATGAAGTAGCTTTTGGCATTTCTAGTGGGAGATAATTCAGGTAAAGTGCTTAGCACAGTAGGTGGCCTTAATAGGGTCTCAAAATTTATTACTGATTTTTAAGGATTTAAAAAATATTTATCTAAGAACCATGAGTAACCCGTGTTCATTTGCTCCCAACCTGAATCCTTCCTCTGGGCCCCCAGACTCTGGGTGACTGAAGTAGACGGGGCGCTGTCCCTTCTGGTCGCCTCGCGTGGGCTGGGATCGCTGACAAGACCCAGCCCTGGGTCTCTGGGGCTTTGGGGACAGGGCAGGATCACCCTGGATTTTATTTTTCTCCAAACAACAGCTGGGTTGCCAGCAGATTGTGGATACCTGTTCCCAATTTATGGATGGGGAGACCCTCTAGGCCCATAAAAGGAGTGTGTCCTCCCTGGGGTCACACAGCAAAGATGGGTCTAGACCAGTGGTTCTCAACCTTCTGGCCCTTTAAATACAGTTGCTCATGTTGTGACCCAACCATAAAATTATTTTCGTTGCTACTTCATAACTGTAATGCTGCTACTGTTATGAACCGTGATGTAAATATCTGATATGCAGGATGGTCTTAGGCGACCCCTGTGAAAGGGTCGTTCAACCGTCAAAGGGGTCGCGACCCACAGGTTGAGAACCGATGATCTAGACCCAAGACACTGGTGTCCCAGCTGCTTTTCCCTTCTTGCTTGGGGACTGGTGGGACAGGAAGTCCTGGGGAAAGGGAGGGGTAGTGCTGGGGGTGGGGTGTGCTTATTCTGGGGAGAAGGGCGGAGGAGACCCTGAGGTCTCACTGCTCCCTCTTCTTCGTTCCAGGGTTATCACAGGTCAAACCACTTCATAGCCACTCAAGGTACCTGGCACGTCTGCCCGTGTGCCCCCATGCCCCCGTGTGCCGAACGCCCTCAGCCACCTTCCTGTCTTCCCTACCGAGCTGCTTGACTCTGTCTCTCTGCTGTTTCTGTCTGTCTGAGCCCCAACCTGGCTGTATCTTCTGGAATCTGGCTGTTAGTTTGTACCTGCCTGTGCTTGTGTCTCCCTGATGTGCCCAGTCCATCTGTAGCTCCCTGTCCATCTGTCTGTCCCCAAGGCGGTGCATGCAAAGGGGCTAGCCAGGCTCAGTCCTCCGAGCTGTGGGTTGTGCCCCAGTCTGGGGGCCACCTGGGTCCCTCTGGCTGTGTCTTTTCCTTCCAACTGTGCATTTGTCCATCCTTTCTGGAGACTTGGGCCATGGCCCTCCAGCTCTGCCTACTGGGTTCCTCTCAAGATGACCCAGGTCCCCAGCCAGGCCCTCCCTGGTTCTCCCCGTCCCCAGGGCCCTCCAGGCCTGAGCTGGCAGTTAGTGGGGGTGTGGGTGGTGTGTGCATGAAGCCCCCCTTGGGACTCAGGAGCCTCCTGGCCGGGAATGCTGATGCCGGCGGTGGGGGTGCTGGCCCTGGACGGAGACCTTGCCTCAGGGACAAGCACCCTCTGTGCCTCCAGGGCCGAAGCCCGAGATGGTCTACGACTTCTGGCGCTTGGTGTGGCAGGAGCACTGTTCGAGCATCGTCATGATCACCAAGCTGGTGGAAGTGGGCAGGGTAAGCGGGCTGTGGGGCGAGGGGCATGGCAGGCCGAGGGGGCAGCGAAGAGCCCGCTGAGCCTGCCCTGTGGGGACTCTAGGTGAAGTGCTCGCGCTACTGGCCGGAAGACTCGGACATGTACGGGGACATCAAGATCACGCTGGTGAAGACGGAGACGCTAGCAGAATACGTTGTGCGCACCTTTGCCCTGGAGCGGGTGAGTCTCCTGTCACCTGGTGACTGGGGGGTGCCTGATGGGGTGGGGCAGAGCCCACCTCCCCACCTCCCCCAGCCCAGGAGCAGGAGGGGGAAGGAGGGCATTGCTGCCCTCCCACTAGGCAGCTGCCTGGTACCTTGCTGGGAGCACCGTGATAGGGCGAGAAGCTGTCTTTGCTGGCGACTTCAAAAGGAAGTCGAGGTACTGAAGATGCTGCGATAGTTGCTGGTTGTTGGTCTTACTGTGTGCGGGACACTGCTGAGAGTGTCACACATGCTGTTTCAGCCCCGAAAGCTCTAGGATTAGGCATTTCCCATTAGCCCCATTTTACAGACAAGGAAAAGTGAGGCTCAGGGTGGTGACATCACTCATGAGAGGCCACAAGGCCAGTGGACAAATCCTCCCATACATGATCCCATTTGATCCTCTGTAAGCCCCTCTGGTCTTCGTCTTAGACTGAGAGCCGAGCGTCAGAGCAGCCATCTGGTGTGAGAGGTAGGTGTTCACTGGCGCAGGGGCAGGCATCAGGCAGACCCGCCCAAGTCCTGGGTAGCTAACCTGGGGCAAGGGCTTTCTCCTCCACGGGCCCTAGTTTTCTCGCTTGTACAAGGAGCCTTAGCACCCGCTCCTAAGTTTATTATTGGGACTGATTGAGATCCTGGCACACAGCAGGCGTCTAATAGATGCCCGGGGTGACTAACTGCAGTTACTGTTGTCTCCCCAGAGAGGCTACTCTGCCCGGCACGAGGTCCGCCAGTTCCACTTCACAGCGTGGCCGGAGCACGGCGTCCCCTACCACGCCACGGGGCTGCTGGCCTTCATCCGGCGCGTGAAGGCCTCCACCCCGCCTGACGCTGGGCCCATCGTCATCCACTGCAGGTGGGGCGCTGGGGGTCCAGGAGAAGAGAGGCCGGGAGAGGGCTTGGTTCAAGGTCCTTACAGGATGCTGGGCGTTCATTCTAACGGGAGATAGAGGAGAGGAGAGAATGACCCCCAAGGGCCCTTTGAACTTTGGCTCTAAGGTTGGCACCCTCATGTCCTTCCCAGAACCTGGGGAGGCCCTTGGCCCAGACACAGGAGACACCAGAGACCTAGAGGCGTTGAACTTGGCGGCACCAGGCAGGGTCAAGTTCTGTTTGTTTCCGTTCAGCAAGTGTCACCTACGCCTGCAGGCTAGGTGTGGCCCAGGTGCCGGCAAGGACTTGGTCTTCTCTTCTTTTCTCCAAGCCCAGGCGACTTTCCTCACCCTCGGCCTTCTCACCTCCTGCAGCTCTCCTGACTTCTCCTTGGTTGGGTCCCGTGACCCCCAATTGCCCTTTCTCTCTCTGCTCTGCTTCCTCCTCTGCTCATCTCCCTTCTTCCTCTTACGTGGAGGCCCAGTGCCCCGTCCTGTTCCTCCCCCAACTATTCCCCCCCCCCCCCCCACATCCCCTTGGAGAGCTTCACCTCTGGCCCGTGGCCCCTGGGCCTCTGTCTCTTGTCCTGGCGCCTCTCCTTGGCTTCTTATCAGCTCCCCCGATGCCACAAAGTAGGCTCATGCCACCGCCTGCCCTGCCACCTGCAAACCAGCTTCTCTTTGGATACCATCTTTTTAGAATAAAACTTCATCCATGAATAATATACTTGAAGCAACATGCACAAATAAGTGTGTATATGACATTATGAACTTTCATAAGTTGCACACACCCATGAAATAACCAGCACTACTCAGATCAAGAAACAACGTTACCAGCACCCAGAGGCCCCTGAGCCCCCTCCTCCCACTCTGCCAATCACTGTCCTGACCAATCACTGTCCTGACCAATCACCATCCTGACCAATCACTGTCCTGACCAATCACTGTGTTGACCAATCACTGTCCTGACTTCCGAACCACAGGTTGGTGGCACGTGTTTTTGAACTGGGTGTGAATGGAATCATACAGCAGGTGCTCTTTGGTGTCTGAATTCTTTCCCTCAATTTTATGTTCCCCAAGATCCATTCATATTGTATTTTATTCGCCTGAATAAACCACAACGTGTTTATTGGTTCTGCTGTTGATAGGCATTTGGGCAGTTTCCAGTTTTGAGCTATAGGAATAGTGCTGCTAAGGACATTCTATTGCATGTTTTGTGGCCAACATACATACGCATTTCTGTGGGTTATGTGTGTAGGAGTGGAATTGCGGTCTGCAAACATTCAGCTTTCGTAGATACTGCTGGGTTTCCGAAGTGGTTGTTCTAATTTAAGCTCCCACCAGCAGTGTATGGGGGACCCAGTTGCTATATGTCTTTGACAACACTTCGATACTACTATTTTCAAGCTTGAAATCTTGATGTCATCTTTGTCTGCCTCCACCCCCTCCCTCCCCCCGCCTCCCGCCCTTAACTTTGCTCTACCTGGTGCTCAGCACGAAGATCCCAGGGACAGATGAGACTCAGCCGAGCTCTCGGTGAGCTCCCAGTCGGGCTAGGGAGACAGTAGCGTAACCAATGACCACGTAACATAGTGGTTCTCAACCTTCTGGCCCTTTAAATACAGTTCCTCATGTTGTGACCCAACCATAAAATTATTTTCATGGCTACTTCATAACTGTAATGTTGCTACTGTTATGAATCGTAATGTAAATATCTGATATGCAGGATGGTTTTAGGCGACCCCTGTGAAAGGGTCGTTCAACCGTCAAAGGGGTCGCGACCCACAGGTTGAGAACCGCTGATAGCAGGAAAGGTGCTTTAATGAAAGAATACTGTTGGCTGGAAGGGCTGTGAGTGGGTGGGGCTTTGAGGGATGTGCAGGAGATTGGAGGAATATCCAGGAGCAAGAACAGTCTTGGATTAAGCTCTGAGCATCACCTTTGTCCCTCCCCTCCAATCCAAGTTGCTAAGTTTCACCTCTGCGTTCTCCCTACCCCTTTCCCTTCTCTCCTCCTCCAAGGCCCATCCCCAGCTCTGTCCTTACCACCTCCCACCAGCACTGTCCAGAGGCTTTCTCCCTGGCTCTTCCTTGCCCGGGGAGGGGGTCTCTCTGTGTCCCCTCCCCTGGGTGGTGGAGACGTGGCCAGGTGCCTCTCTTTTCTCCCCCCTGGACCTGGGCTCCCTTCCCAAGGCCCTGACCTGGCCCGGGCCATTCTCTCCCCAGCGCCGGCACTGGCCGCACAGGCTGCTACATCGTTCTGGACGTGATGCTGGACATGGCCGAGTGTGAGGGTGTCGTGGACATTTACAACTGCGTGAAGACCCTCTGCTCCCGGCGCGTCAACATGATCCAGACTGAGGTAGGGGATGTGGCCCCCTCTCCAGGACTCGAGTCCTGCAGGCTGGATTATCAGAAGGGTGTCCTCAGGCCCTTCCCCTTCCTAGGATGCCCCCTTGTTCTTTCCCCTCCCTGCCAACCTCTCAGGGTCTCCCAGACTCAGCTCCACTGTATCCTGCTGGGTGAGGTCAAGTAACAGTGGGTCAAGGCCATAGGTTCTGCAGTCAAGGTACGACCTGTCTGTACCCTTGCTAGATGTAGCTCTGGGCTGTCCCCGCACCATCAGAGCTGCTCACAGGGTTGTTATAGGGATGAAATATAAGTGAACGTACCCATGAAGGTTGTTTCAAGTAGGGTTGGCCCAACCTGTAGTACCACGTGGCTGAACTCCACATCAGCACACCTGTGCCTCAACCTTGGGCTTGCTTCCTCCTGCCTCCATCCCAAATTTCTAGCTTCTCTGCCCCTCCTGGTTCTTCATATTCTTCTCTCCTGTTCTAGGAGCAGTATATCTTCATCCATGATGCAATCCTGGAGGCCTGCCTGTGTGGGGAGACCACCATCCCTGTCAGTGAATTCAAGGCCACCTACAAGGAGATGATCCGTATTGACCCTCAGAGTAATTCCTCCCAGCTGCGGGAAGAGTTCCAGGTGGGGCAGGAGTGTGTACGTATAGGTGTGTGTAGGTATGTAGGTGTGGTTTGTGAGTGTGTGTGTGTGTGTGTGTGTGTGTGTGTGTGTGTGTGTTGGAGGTCCTCAGTGCTGTAGGAGTCAGAGATGGGATGAATAACTCAGCCCTATTTCCTTCATGGGGCTGTGAGGAGGCCCAGTAAGTGCTGGATGCCACCCCCATTCCTCTTCTCACTCCTTGTAGACGCTGAACTCGGTCACGCCGCCGCTGGACGTGGAGGAGTGCAGCATCGCCCTGCTGCCCCGCAACCGAGACAAGAACCGCAGCATGGACGTCCTGCCGCCCGACCGCTGCCTGCCCTTCCTCATCTCCACCGACGGGGACCCCAACAACTACATCAACGCGGCTCTGACTGACGTGAGGGCTTGGGCGTGGGGTGGGCTCTGGGACTGCCCCCTCCCCCCCAGCAGGTGGGGACGTCCAGGAGCCAGGGAGTAGAACTGAGGGCTCTGGTTCTGGGACCCTTTGCCCTTTCAGGGGTGACTCTTTTACCCCCAGTGAGCTCCATTCAGGACATTAAAGCCAGTCTCCCCCCTTGGCCTGAGTCGGGATTGGGTGGTGGAGTCCAGGGAGGGCTGTCTCCAGCACTGGACCAAGCAGGGCCTGGGGTAGGAGTGATTTGGGGGCCTTGGCTGGGAGGGTAGGAGGGTTTGGGGTTGGGATTTGAGACCTGGAGTCTGGAGCCAGGGGAGCTTGTGCTGGGGTGTTTGAGCGGGAGCCGGGCTCAGGACATGGCCCAGGATGGTGACTTGCTCCCTGGCCCCACCCTGGCTTGGTCTGAGGGCTCAGGAGCCATTTAGAAGCCTCTTCCCCTGCTCCCAGCTTGGGGGCTCCACTTCCTGCATTGGGTGTTGCAAGCAGAACAGGGGCTTTAGTCCCCAAGGAGTAACCCCAAGATGCTGCCGCATGAGGGAGACGGGGAAGAGTCCGTGAGCATTGCCCTATTCCTCTCCCAGATGGAACCAGCTGAGAGGTGGGTGCAGGAGACAGACTGGATTAAACCGGAGAATGTGACTTCCGACATGTGGCTAAGGACCGGCTCCTCCTTCGCTCCCAAGTCAGGCAGACTTGTCCCTGTTACAGCTGCGCAGCCACAGGCCCCCCCTTCCCACCATTGCCCCCTGCGCCCTTCCCACCATTGGACTGGCCTTTACATGTGGCAGGAGCAGGAGCAGGAGCAGTTGAACGCACACTTTCTGAGGACAAGAGGGGAAAAGAGGGGAAGGGGCTGAGCTGAGCATACTCAGTCCTTGTCCCAAACTTGCCATGGGAGGATTGCAGGAAGGTGGGTCAGTCACAGGTTTGCCGACCACTGATGTCCCTCCACATGGAGATGAGACATGGAGAGGGAGGTATTTTCAGAGCAGGTATGAGGGAGAGGGGCCTGGCTCCCGGCAGAGTCCCTTGGTAGGATAGTGCAGGGGACAGGGGAGTTTCTCTAAAGAGGAAAGCCCCCGTGCTGGCTTCCCAAGGGCCTCCGGTGTGAGCTAAAGGCCAGGGGAGGAGGAGCCCAGCCACTGAAGGGAGCGGCTGGAGAGGGGCCCACCAGTCACTGTCGCTCGGCCTGGTGGGATGCATGAGTAGGTGGGTGTGCATGCCCCTGCTGAGGGGGCCAGGGCCCTGGGGCAGGGCATGGGTGCTAGAGAGTTTTGGATGGGAACTTAGGAATCGGTGACCTTCCTCCCAGCCCCTCTTTGGCCTCAGGGTGCACACTGGGCAGGGCAGCAGGCTCTGTGAGGGTCCTGCGGGTCTCTGAGCTGGGGAGGGTCACACGGGGGCTCCCTGGTCCTGGGTGGGAATGGGCCGCTGGGTACAGGCCACACTCCAAAATCTCTGATCTCTTAACCTTTGCATTTGGGGAATAGGTTGAGACAATTATTAAACAAATATCCAACAGAATGTCAGACACTGGTAATCTCTACACAAATCAACCAGGCAGAAGAAATATTTCATGTGGGTTTTGGGGGCTCGCATGTGTGGCTATTTTTGATGAGGTTAAGGTTAAGGAGGGCCTCTTGGAGGAAGTGATAGTTAAACAAAGACCAGAAAGAAGTGAGGGAGAAAGCCATGTAAACACTTGGGAAATTTGTTCTAGGCAATAGGAATAGCATGTGCTTGGCCAGCCTCTGCCTACCAGGCCGAAGCTTCCATTGTCTCACATTTGGGAACCTTTTGCTGTTTAGTTCCTTGGAGCCATAGGCTTGGACTCCGGAGAGGTCTGGGGGCTCACCCTGCCCGCTCAGGCGTCAGTGTAGTGGCCAACCTGTGAAATGGGCCAATGGCGGCAAGCCTGGTCCTGTGAGGCACAGCTGTGTGGTCGGCGGGGAGAGGATCAGCCTGTGGCAGAGGATCGGGCTATGTCGTGGTGGTAAGCGGGCCCTGCTGAGTCCTGGTCTCCCTGCAGAGCTACACGCGGAGCGCAGCCTTCATCGTGACCCTGCACCCACTGCAGAGCACCACGCCTGACTTCTGGAGGCTGGTCTACGACTACGGGTGCACCTCCATCGTCATGCTCAACCAGCTGCACCAGTCCAACTCCGCCTGGGTGAGGGCCCTGCTGGCCGCGGGCTGGCTGCCTGCTACCCACGCCACCGTGCGTTCAGGGGCACATCTCGAAAGTCAGGGGTTGGATCTCAGCTCTGCCACCTATTGGTTGAGTGGCCTTAGGCAGATCATGCTCCCTCCCGGGGCCTCCGTTTCCTTGTCTGTAAAATGAGATGGTCAGACTGGAGGGAAAGCTGCTTTTTATGAAGTCCCTGCTGTGCCAGGGACTCTGCTTTGCACTTATGGGCTTCAGGTGAGAAGATTAAGACCCAGAGAGGCGAAGCAACTTCTCCAAGGTCACAGCTGGGAAGCACGGAGCTGTGCCCCATACTCTGTGCTGCCTCCTTCCAGAGCCGATTAGTTGCTGAACTAAACTGCCCATCATGGGGGGTCTTTGAGGCAGAAAAAGTTCCAGCCTCCTTACTTTCTGACTGTTCGATCTAGGAGATAGTTTGAGCCTTCGTTTCCTTCTCTGTGAAATGGGCACCATCAGAGCACCTGTTCGCTCATGGGGCTATTGTCAGGACCATGTCAGGCATAGGTAGGATGCGTAGCGCTGGGCCATGTCGAGTACACAGGCTCTCAGTACGTGGCAGGGATGAAGATGATGAGGGTGAGAGTTGCTTCAGAGGTTGGAGGATGAGTGACCCATGGAGAGGGAGCAGCATGTGCAAAGGCCTGAATGCAAGGACTTGCCCGAAGCCCAGGCTGAAAGAGGAAGGTAGTGAGAGAGGAAGGTGTGGTCAGAGAGGGAAGCAGTGGAGCCTGGAGTTGTCTGGGAGGCGCGTGGGGCCACTTCACAGGCAGAAAAATGGGCCCAGAATCAGGAAGAGCTGAGACTAGAAGCTGGGGCCTGGGACCGACTAGCCCGGAGCATTTGTGTGTATGTGTGTGGGGGCCCTGCTGCCTCTGTCCCTCTGCTGTCTCGAGTGTGTGGCCTGGAGGGGGATACGTGTAGGTCCCTGACTCCGTGGAGTGGTCTTGGGCAGGAGCTGAGCTGTGTGGCAGCATCAGGGACACCCTACCTCTGAGCTGATGCTGGGGGGCAGAAGTAGTGAGAGAGAAGACCAGGGGACGGGGTTGCGGGGATGGGAGGGCCGATGAGGCGCCCCTGGGCGAAGGCAGTCTGTGGAGGTGTGTTAGGTGTGGCTGTAGAGCACCAGGGCACCCACTCTGAGGGGTTTGTCTCAGCTGCCCCGGGTGTGTCGGCAAACACACCAGGCAGGTGTGCATGCAGTTGTGGGTGAGTGGTGGGGAGTGGGTGGACTCTGATGAGGAGTCCGGAGTGAGTGGGTGGGCCAGGGTGCGTGGGAGTCCCAGCGCAAGTGTGGAGGTTGGGGTGGGTGAGTGGCAGCTGCCCGGAGGCTCCGCTCAGCGCCCGTCTCCGTGCTCGTGCCGCCAGCCGTGCCTGCAGTACTGGCCGGAGCCGGGCCGGCAGCAGTATGGCCTCATGGAGGTGGAGTTTGTGTCAGGCTCCGCGGACGAGGACTTGGTGGCCCGTGTCTTCCGGGTGCAGAACATCTCGAGGGTGAGTGATCTGGAGCCCCAGGGTGAGAAGCGGGGTGGCGGTGGGTGTGGCCTGTCGGGACCTGCTCGAGGTCACCGGGGGCCTGGTCACCCCGGTGCTCATGCCCCCTGGCTGGCTGCCCACACCCCCAGCTGCAGGAAGGGCACCTGCTGGTGCGGCACTTCCAGTTCCTGCGCTGGTCCGCGTACCGGGACACACCGGACTCCAAGAAGGCCTTCCTGCGCCTGCTGGCCGAGGTGGACAGGTGGCAGGCGGAGAGCGGGGACGGGCGCACGGTCGTGCACTGCCTGTGAGTGCGGGCCTGCCTTGGGCGGGAGGGGGCGGGGAGCAGGAGAGAAAGGTCCAGCGTGAGAGGCCAGCCTCAAGACTGGCACCAAAGCCCCTGGCCCTGCCTTCCCTGGAGGATCCTTGTCAGCTCTGACCCTGCAGAACTGCCCAGCGCTCCGTGTGGGATGGTTGACTTTGCCCATGTCATGAGGGCCCTGCCAGGGTCCTGTGATCCTGTAGCACACGTTTTAAGCCAGTGGATTTCTGGTCTTTGTTCATGAATGCTCACATAGAACCTTTTCACCCTTTCAGTAATTAACGAACTCACTAATTAATGAATTCATGTGCCCCACCCACGATTCATTTATGCACTTGTGTCTGCTGCAGTCACTCCTTTGCTGCTTTCAGACTAGCTGGCCCTTCTCGGGCTGGGCTGGGCGTGCTGGATGCGGGGACAGGGTGCTGAGTCGGGCCTGGCCTGCCTCTCGGGCTTTCAGTTCTAGTGGGAGAGACTCTAGAGACAGGGCTGAGGGCCTGTCCAGTCCCCCATCTCCCAAGAGGACGTCACACCCTGAGTTACAGGAACAGAGGAGGGAGAGGGACGGGGACAGGCGGTGGAGACTCAGGTTGTACCTGTGTTTGCACCCGTGTCTGCATTGCTGGGGTGACCGGTATTCTCAGTATTCGCTTCCCATCCTGCTCTCTGGGTTTTGCTTGCTGCTCCGTGGCCCTCCTCTGTTGCTGTCATTCTTCCTCTGGGAGTATGCCTTCCTCCTCCTCAGAATGGGCCGTGTCTCCTGGAGGCTGTCTTCCTAGAGACCTTCAGCTTTGGATGTCAGTCTTGGCCCAGACTCTGCCCCCTTACCCTCTTGCTCACCTCTGGGCCCCCTTCCCTTCCCTTCCCTTCCCTTCCCTTCCCTTCCCTTCCCTTCCCTTCCCTTCCCTTCCCTTCCCTTCCCTTCCCTTCCGGGTGCCTTGGCCCTGCCCTCACCTCTGGTCTCCCAGCCCCTCCCTTCTGGGTTCCCAGACCCTGGCCCTGCTCTTTACCTGGGAGTTCACCCTCCTCCCCCAAGCCTTACCCCAAACCTTTTGTGTCTCATTTAGAAATGGGGGTGGCCGCAGCGGCACCTTCTGCGCCTGCGCCACGGTCCTGGAGATGATTCGCTGCCACAACCTGGTGGACGTTTTCTTTGCTGCCAAAACGCTTAGGAACTACAAACCCAATATGGTGGAGACCCTGGTGAGGTTCCATGTCCCCTGTGCCCTGCCACTTCCAACCTCTATGCCCAGCCAGTCCCCTCAGTCCCCACTCTCCCATATCCAGTCCCCACACTTGGGCCTTGGGTCCCCCACAGTTAGTCTTGTGGTGCCAAAATGTGTCCTCTATTTCCCCTTCTCCCCAAGATGGGCCAGGTCTCATGCTTGCCCCCTCCCCCCAGGCTCATGGCTCCTTCTCTCCTCTCCCCAGGATCAGTACCACTTTTGCTATGATATGGCCCTGGAGTACCTGGAGGGGCTGGAGTCAAGATAGCGGGGGCCCCTGGCCTGGAGCACCCACTGTGCACTCAGGGCCAGGCCCGTCATCCCGACCGAGAGGAAGACCTGTGTCCCCAACTCTGCTCAACCACAACCCATAGGGAAGGCACTGGAGTGGGTGATGGGCCTTCTTGGTGCTGCCTTCACGGGGGGCAGGGCCTTTTGCCAAATGTACCGTGGGCAGCCTGGGGGCCAAGGAGGAGCTTAGCAAGACTGCAGCCCAGCCCACCTGCGTGGGGCCCTGCTGGCCTGTGCCGAGGGGCCGGGCACTGCCTGGCAGAGTGACAGGAGCTCAGAACTGCTTGCTTGGGGGGACTAGGCTCAAGCCCCGTGACTGTATCCCAGCCCTTGGTGGGATGTGTACCAGGCCAAGGTTCCACCCAGCATGGCTCCACAGGAGCAGGGAGTCCATCTGGCCCAGTCCCTGCGGTCCTGGGGAGACTGGGCTTTGCTCTGATTTGCCAGTGGGCACATCCGACTGAGGTTCCCCAGGCGGAACCGCAGCCCCTCCTCCAGCACTGCGCCCTGTAGCCCCTGGGAAATCTTGCTCATGGTCCCTCCCACTTTTGCTTCCCTGACATGTGCTCTGAGTTCCCTGAACCAGGATCTGCCCACCTCTCTCCTGCCCGACGCGAAGCTCCTTCCCTGCCTGACCCAACGTCTGCAGAATGAGACACAACCTCAGGCGCCTCTGCCTATAACTTCCCGGCCTTGCTGGCCGGGTCCTGCTCAGCCTGGGCCAGTGACAGTCTGAACAATAAGGCTGAACAACAGCCCGTGGGGTTGAGGTTCCTGTGGCTCCCGATCAGGCTGCCAACTGGGGAGAGAGCACTGTTAGGTGAGGGCTGCTCCCAACCCTGAGAGTTCAGAGGAAGAAGGTGTGTTTTGGAGTGGAGGATCAATGCTTTTTTGTTTAGTTTTTGATGGGTGGGTGGGAAGATCTCTTTGCAACGGGGCAGGCCACACCCCCATTCCGTGCCTCAGATTCCCCATCTGTAAACTGTAGATATGACTACTGACCTACCTCGCAGGGGGCTGTGGGGAGGCAAAAGCTGATGTTTGTAAAGTGCTTTGTAAATAAACGTGCTCTCTGAATGCCACAGAGCGGCCTGGTGTGTGTCTGACCAGCTTGACTGGGGCTTGCTCACCTGCCCCAGCGTCCCAGTCAGTGGGTGGGCCCTGGACTGGGGGTCAGAGGCCTGCGTGCTGGTCTGGCATCCGTTTTCCCATAAAATGGTGGAGGTGGGGACCAGAGCATCACGCAGGGTCCTTCCATTTGCAGAGGCGGTTCTGAGGGACTCTGGCTTGTTGCTGCCTCCTCCCAGGCCTCTTCACCGGGCAGTGGGCTTTATCCTGAGACCTCCGAGGGTCCCAGAGCTGCCTCTCACCCCTGGGGGCCTGGACCTGGGTTGAGCTCTTTTGGGGGCAGCTTGGGAGGCTCAGGCTTTGGTGTCAGGCACACAGGCCTCACCAGCTGTGAGACCCTGGGTAGCAAGTCAACTGTCCTCTCCAGGTCTTGGTTTCCCATCTGTAAAATGGGAACAGTCCTGTTAGGAGCAGAAGACATTGTGGTTAAGTGTCTTGTGTGGTGCCAGGTGTGCTGAAAGGGGTACTTATGAGCACACAGCAGAGAGGGGACAGAGGGGACACGCATCTGGGGATGGTCGTCCTGCTGCCCAGGTTCAGCCCATTCCCAGCCTGAGGCATCCTCGGGGGCTGGAGGGGAGGAGGAGTGGGGACCTGAGTCACTCCTGGTTCTCACAAACTTGCTATATGACCTTGGGCAAGACCCCTCCTCCCCACTTGTTTCTGGGCCTCAATTTCTTCATATGAAGACTGGCTCTATGATGGACTGGTTCGGCTTGCACACTGGCTGACTCTGTGGGCCTCGGTTTTTCTATTGGTTAAAGGATATGACCCATTCTAACCACACAATTCAACATCCTTTACTCTGAACTAAAAATGTATTAATTAGGATCTCGCCTAGCTCGACTGGCCTGCGCACACTCCTTCTGCACTGACTGCTGAACCTTATGTGATAGGTCACGAATGTATGTCCAATACTAGCTAAATAACAGAATGTGGCTTGCTTTGACCAATAGAATGTGGCGTAAGTGATGTCAAATTCTGGATCCTAAACCTCAAGGGGCACTGCAGCTTTTGTTTGCCCTTCTGGAACTCTGCTATGTAAGGAAGCCTGGTGAGCCTCCCTGAAGATTGAGGGCACATGGAGAAGTACCAATGAAACCTACGAATGGCAGAGACCAGCTGTCAGACCTGCAAACTAGGCATCTTGGAACTTCCAGCCTGGCCGACCTGTCAGGTGAGTGTAGCTGCATGATTAAACTTAGCAAAAACTGTCCCCAAAACTGGGAGAGATAATAAATTGTTCTTTCTTTTAAAACAAAACAATACATTTTTGGGATTGTTTGTTATGCAGCAAAAACTAACTGATACATGTGTTCCAGGCAATGTGGATACAGCTTTACTCTTTGCCCCATCAGGTATTGACCTTCTCAAGGGCAAGAAGTATTTCTTTGTTCATTTTATTGTGCTCATTGGCCAGCAAAGGGCTGATCTTGGAGCTGGTGCTCGAGAAATGAGGGAGGTAAGAAGGGAGGGAAGGAAGATGCAAGTGTGGTTGTGCCAATCTGTCTGACTAGTGGCCTTTCCGAGGAGCTGGGAAGGTAGGCTGTGTATTAGGAGGAGCACTAGCTCCAGAACCAGCAAGCCAGCATCCCATCCCCAGCTCCACATTCCACCAGCTGGTGACCTTGCTCAAGTGCCTTAACCACTCTGCTTCCTAAGCTAGAAAATCAACATAACGATAGCTATCTGCAGGATTGGTGGTGAAGTGTAGAGATAAGATGCTTAAAAAGAGCTAGCGTAGTAAAAAAACCCCAAAACTAGCAAAGTCACTGCCCCTCCATAAGTGCCATCCCATAGGATAACGTTGAAGGCTGTGGATAATAAAGATGGTCACCACCGCTTTTTGTTTGGCACCTATTACTCTGTTAGGTGCCTTCTACCTTTTTCTCTTCATTCATACAACAGCTCCTTAGAGGAGGCATCGCTCCTCCTCCTTTTAGAGAAAATGGGGTCTCAGAGAGGCAGTTTACTCCCCCAGAGTCACAGCCAGTACATGACGGCGTCTGGACTTGAATCTGAACCCACGTTTAGGCTGACTGCAGCCTGGGCCTTTAATCATCTTGCTCTATGGATGATCTGGGTGGTGTCAAAAGCCAGAGGATGGCTTGGTGCAACACCACATGAGTCATTTGTGAACTGGCCACTGATTTCCAAATGCTGCGAAATGTGTCAGAGGTGGTAGCCTCTTGGACAAGGCGGCCTGGAGCACAAGACGATGAATGGTCCACGGGCCCAGCCGGAGTGGGGTAGAAGCCCCTACCCACCCAACCCCGGCAAATAGGATTCCTGCAAGTGTGGATGGGCCGGCTGCCTGGTACTGCCGGCAGCTAAATTTGTTTCTTTATGTCACAATAAATCTCCTGTAGGAACCTGCCAAGGCAATTATTACTTCTCACGGCCTCTCTGCTGGCCTCTGATTGGGACCTGTTATATATCCTGGGCACCCAGGAGATGGAGCCGTGACTTTGATAGATGCTAAGGCCATTTCCAAGGCCCTAATTGAGAGCAGGCCTTGGCTGCCTCCCTGTCACTGGGATCCTGCTGACCACCCTTGGCGGTCTTCTGATGGACAAGAGTTTAATAGATACCCCCATGGCTGAGGGCTGTGCAGAAATAAGGGTGTCATTGCATAGGCTCCAGAACCAGCAAGAACCTACCTTGCCATGCGTGGAGAGATCAGGGACCCTGGGGACTGGGGCCCTTAGTCTGAGGACTTCCTTTTCACGGGGGCACTGAGGTGGGTCCTGACTCTCAGTGGGCCTTGGTGCCTCATCCTGGAAATGAAAGAAGAAAAAAACATGGGCTGTGGTGCTCTCAGGCCGTGAGAGGCTGGGCTGTGTGGATGGGATTGGAAGGACCTATGGTTTCAACAGGTGCAGGCCACGCTGGCAGAGGACGAGGGCTTTGGACACAGTGATGTAAAATAGCAAAGCTTTATTTGGTGCATACACTGCATGGGGCATGGTGCTAATGCTCTGTGTGTGTTGTCATGCCAGCCTCCGGTGAAACCTGGCGGGGGGAGGTTCTGCTACCCCCATTTTAGAGAGGCGATCGGGCTCAGAAGCTTAAGCATCTTGCCCAAGGTCACACAGATGTCCCTCACATGGCAGCAGCCAGTGATCGTTTGAAAAAAAATAAGCTAGGTCCCATCACTTGCCTGCTCCGACCCTCCAGTGACCTCCTACTGCTCTGAGTAAAAGCTGAGCTCCTGGCCCTGACACACTCTCTCTCTCTCTCTCTCTCTCTCTCTCTCTTATTTTTGTTATTTCAGAGAGGAAGGGAGAGGGAGAGGGAGATAGAAACATCGATGAGAGAGAATCATTGATTGGCTGCCTCCTGCATGCCTCCTACTGGGGTTACAGCCCCGCAACCAGGGATTGTGCTCTGACTAGGAATCGAACCATGACCTCCTGGTTCATAGGTTGACGCTCAGTCACTGGGCCACACTAGCTGGGCTGCCTTTGCCTTTTCTCTGACCGTGTCCCTCTGGCCTCATGTCTTCTCATCACTTCACACTCTGTGCCTGGATGCCCTTCACTAGTCTCTGTATGACTGGTCCTTCTTAGTATCCAGGTCTCAGCGCAGATGGCCCCTCCTTCAGAGGTCCTTTCTGAATGCCCTGAGGTGCCTCCCTGCCCCACTGTCCCTGTCCCTCTCAGGGCCCTGTGTCCTATGTCCCTAGTTGTCTTTTCACAGTGGGTGATCAGCTTGTTATTCATTGGTTGTTTGTTCACTGCCTCTCCCACCAGACGGTGAGAGAGCTGGGCCATGTGGACCTGGCCCTCTGTGCCCCCTGCACGGAGCATGGTGCCTAGCACAGACTCAATGAATATTTGTTGAATGAATGAAAGGTACAAGGCCAGAATTCAAACTGTCTGTCTTCCTTTAAAGCCCATACTTTAAGCACGTTATTTTTAGTCTTCCAGATGGTCGAATGGCTTGATGCCATGAGCTGGGTTCCAGTGCTGGCTCAGCCACCACCATGCTGTGTGGCCTTGAGCAAACATCTGCGGTCTTTGGGGCTCAGTCTCCCGATCAGCCCAGTGAGGAGGTGGGACGAGGTGCTCTTTAGAAGCCCATTCCAAGGAGGTACCACTGGTTCAACGTCAGTGACAATGGCAGGGAATGTAATCGATAATATTGTCATAACTATGTATGGTGCCAGCTGGGTGCTAGACTTATTGGGGTGATTGCTTTATAAGTTATTTAATGTCTAATACCTGAAACCAATAGAATATTGTATGTCAACTGCAATGGAAACAAACAAACAAACAATAAACCCCATTAATAGGGCTGACGTGGCTCAGTGGTGGCAGGCCACTGGCCTAAACATCTGCCTTCTGAGTCTGGTGAGACCGTGGGTGTGGCCTGGGCTGTGGTCTGACGGGCCTGGGCACTCACCCTGGTAGGTCCCTGCATTATACTTAATACAGACATTGTCCCTAACCTTCCAGAAACCCTGAGAGGTACATATTACCAAAACCATGTGATAGTAAGGAAGCAGGTTCAGGGAGGTGAGGCGAATTGCTTAAGGTTACACGGCGAGAAAAGAACCGAGGTAGCATTAGAGTCCATGTCACTCGGCTCCAACGCCTTTGCTCTTGGAACCATCCCAGATGGGCCGGAAAGTCTGAACCTGAAACCACGTGAGGTGCCTGCAGTCTCTTTCTTGTCCGTGATTCAGTCTGCCCTCTCAACCCCGAGGCTCCGCCAGGCTCAGCTCGGGCCGCGTAGACAGACTTAGCTGAGGCCCATCGTCAGGCAGCTTCCCAGACTCAGTGGTCTAGAACCGTGGTCGGCAAACCGCGGCTTGCGAACCACATGCGGCTCTTTGGCCCCTTGAGTGTGGCTCTTCCACAAAATACCACGTGCGGGCGCGCATGTACAGTGCGATTGAAACTTCGTGGCCCATGCGCAGAAGTCGGTATTTTGTGAAAGAGCCGGTATTTTGTGGAAGAGCCACACTCAAGGGGCCAAAGAGCCACATGTGGCTCGCGAGCCACGATTTGCCGAGCCGCAGTTTGCTGATCACTGGTCTAGAAGGTCTGCTGGAAATGCTG